AAAAAAAAAAAACAAAACCCAAACCCGTTGCCATCAAGTCAATTCTGACTCACAGTGACCCTACAGGAAAGAGCAGAACTTCCCCATAGGGTCTCCAGACCGTAATCTTTATGGAAGACTGCCACATCTTTCTCCCATGGAGCGGCCAGTGGATTTGAACCACTGACCACTACCAGGGCTCCTTCTATATACATAAAAGTGCTTATGATTATGAAAAAAATACATGCTCTCTTTAGAAAACTGGAAAATCAGCAAAGTATAAATAATATCTTTTAAAAAATTAACACATATATATTTATGACAATAAGAAAGTAGGAAATAATATGTAGTCATTAAAAAGGAGGGGAAATTTTCTAATATGCCAGATGAAAAAAGGGTATAAAACTACACATAGAATATATGGAATATGATCTCAGCTACAGTTTTTAAAAAGTACAAATATTAACAATGGTTGTTTTTAGGGTAGGTCCTTTTTTGCTGTTGTTATTGTTGGTGGTTTTTGAACTTCCATTTTAAAAAAAATGAATAGGTATTACTGTTGTAATCACAAAAATATTTTTCAATAGGCCTCCTTAGGGTCTGGGTGAGTGACTTGTACCACAAGGAACCCATCAGAGTCCAAGGTTCACACTTCTTCCAGGGTGCAGCTGGCACCAGTTAGGTCCAAGGAAGCTGGGAATCTGGGCAAGAGCTCTACATTGACTCCAACCTCATCAGCCAGCATTGAGCCTTGCTTCTCTTACTCACATAGTCCACCAGGGAGCGCTGTATCTCACCTGATACATATGAAACATATTCTTCAAATATTTATATTCCTTTCCCATCTCCTCTGGACAAAAGGAAAATAACAACAGGGTCATCAGTATTCCTCTGATATGCACATTTTTAAATTCAAGTATGAGTTCCCTTGCACACTTTCCCCACCTCAAACAACTCCTAGACGATGAAACCTCGGTGTGCCTCAGAAATCACTAAGAAAGCTTATTAGAAAAGCAGATGCCTGGGCCCCACCCCCTAGCCTACTGAATCAGGATCTCAGGGGAAGACCCAGCATCTGTTGATAATATACTTCCCAGCGATTGTGATACAGGCCAAGTTTGACAACCAACTCCCATGGATAAACTTACATCTGTGGGAGCAAGGGAAACAAAACCTTATAGCTTACATCTGCATCCCTTTTTCAAATAACATTTTCTAGTTTACACTGATTATGAAAAAAATATATGCTCTCTTTAGAAAATTGGAAAATCAGCAAAGTATAAATAAGATAGCATCTCTTTAAAATTTAAGGCAAATAAAGGGAGAAAGTTACAGAGTCTCTCCTTCTTCCTGTGGTGATTAGTCTATGAACCGTGAATCCTGCAGGATACACACTTTGCCCTTTCCAAGGGCAGCAAAAATATTGGGATAAATGGCCAGCACAATCCTTATGCAGTATAAGGTGATAAAATCACGGTGTGTCACCTGGAATTTAATGACGTCATCATTTTACAGGTGAGGATACTTGTTGAATTGTAATAGTATTACCTTAAATTTGAAGAACTATAAAATACACTTTTAAAAATGATTTCACATTCTTATTACTCTGATAAGGGCAGATATTATTGTCATCAATTCCCAGATGGGGAAACCGAGACTCCAGGAGATTAAGGTACTTGCTCAGATCCCAAGACTTGGTCCAGGCCTGTCCATCTCCCAGGTATAGGAAGAACATTGCTAGAGTGGTTTTCCCTTCTTTCAGTTTAATTCTCAGCCTCTCCTTCCCCCTAAGCTTTAGGAGGAAACACTGAAAGCCTGGCCCCAGCCTATCTTCCGTCATGGGAGCCCTCTATCACAGGAGACCTCTATCTAGACCCGCATGGGCTGCCTCTCGCGGCTTCACCCAGTTATGCTCCCAGGCCCCTGACATACCCAGCTTCTCCTGGGCAGCCAACCTCTCTGCCTTCAAGGTTGCTTTGTAGTTTTGCTCCAATTCACTGAGCTCTGCTGCATGAGCCTCTTTGAGCTCCCTGTGAAAGCCCCAGAAGGCCAAAATCATCAGTGAAAAGAAGTTCACTCCCCCCCCAACCCCTCCTCCCTCTCACAGGAAGTCGGGATGGGGGTGGGGGCGGAATGGAGGGGGTGGCTCACTTCCTGAAACACTCTCCATGCGTCTGTCCCCAGAGGCGTGAGAGAATCCAGGTTGCTTCTTCCAAACAACTGTTTTGTAACAGTTATTGACACCCCACCCCGGAAGCTGGCAGCATGTTCTTCGCTTACAGCTAGCTGGGGAATCCGTGGGCAACCTTAGCCCCAAGGATAATTTTAGAGCCCAAGATAAATCTCCAGCCTCCATTTCAGGAGGCAGGTGCTGGCAGTGTTCAAGTCGAGTGTTAAAATGAAAGGCTATTACTCCCTCCTTCCACCAGGTAGCCTGGAAAGGGAAGTTGAGATTTTTCTCACCCACAGAGACAACACAACTCCTTTTATTTTCCCCTTGGTTTGTCCATGCTGCTCTGGCTCCTGCCCTTCCCATAACTTCTTCCCATTTTGCCCCAAGATGGACCTTGCAGCCAGGGAGAGTAGAGGTGGGAGGAGGAGAAGGGGGCGGGGGTGGTGGTGCTGAGAACAACATTGTTTACCACAGACAGTTCCTTGAGAACAAAAAATGACCCTTCTCAGCAACCAACAATGACAAAAAAGATTAGAATGAAATAAAATAATTGGATAAGAAAATGCAAACGCAGAAATAATCTCTGTGCTATACACTTTAGTGGCCTCAGATCAAACCATCCTACTCTCCAAAGACACATGCCTCATATCCCCCACCCCTCGCCACCCCAGACCCCAGTTAGCACTGTCTGGAGTTCCAGTGAACTGAAATCCTGCAAAGGATGCAGGAGCCTAGGGCCTTCAACACACAGGACTTGTGCCAGAAAGCATACCTGTTCTTGGTTTCAAAGTTCCGCTGCATCTCAGCACACCGGATTTCCATTTCACTGGAGAGCTGGAGACAAGGCCTCACATTAACAACACAGAAGTGAGGACCTCTGCTCCAACCTGCATCTTCTGAGAAGCCTCTCCGCTAGTACACCCCGCTCCCCACACCTCTCCCACTTGGGTTCTGCAGTGCCCAGAGAGTCCATTACTATTGAAGTAATGGAACAATTCTTGCCTTGGCCTATGTTCTTTTCTACTTAATCAGTTCATAATGTTGGCACACAGAAACCATCTATTTCACTAACTGGATTTGTGGGTGGGCCTGATCTCCTCTGCTAGACTGTAATCTCTTTGTAAGACCATAGCCTTTGGATTCTTGGGAACATAATTAAATTGAACAATTATTTGTTGGGCAAAGGACTTTGCCTAGAAGAGCCAAAGAGGACTAAGACACAGATCCTGCCTTCATTGAACTTAAAATCCAGTGTTAATAAGTCCTTGTTGACAGAATGGTCATGTTCTGTTGTTGGTGTTGTTAGGTGCCCTTGAGTCAGTTCCAACTCGTAGAGACCCTACAGGACAGAGAACTGCCCTCTACGGTTTACGAGGAGCAACTGGTGGATTTAAACTGCCGACTTTTTGGTTAGCAGCCGAGCTCTTAACCACTACGCCACTCGGGCTCGGTCATGTTCTAGTAAGCAGGATTTACTCACTCTCTGGTGATCGTCCAATCTAACATATCAGAAACTTCTGGCTAGTGTCCCAGGAAGAATGGACACTTCAAAACCAGTAAGATGTCACAGTCAGCTAAAGCAAAGTTTCAGGGTTTGTCCTTGTGCTGAGTCGCACCATCCAGGAGCCAGGGACTGTCTGACACAACCAAGTGATCAGCCTCAGCAGCTCCAGCAGGGACTGCCACAGTGGCAGCCAGCACTCCTCTCTTCCACAGGGTCACACAACAAAATGGTGTGTTAACAGGTGGGAGAACTTTAAGGCTCACAATGTAGAGTCCCTCCATGGAAAACAGTCTCTAAACATGTCTTCAGCACAGCCTGGGCTTAGTGGGTCAAAAGGTGCATCTTGCCCAATGGCCCACCATTGATGAGCTGAGTGAGCTTATGCAAATTATTTAACTTCCATGAGCCTCAGTTTCCTTGTCCATAGAATGGAGACCATAAACCTTGCAGGGTTTTAATATAAATAGGTAATGAATCAGTGGTGGGAGAGGCCTCAGCTTGAGTCAAGCTGGGTCGTCGTAGAATTCAGACATGTCTGGGGCATATCAGAGGGTGGGAGGTAGGCCTGTCAAGTACCTCTCTGTCTAAGAACTGGGAAGTAGACCCTTACAAATGAGTTTCAATAACAATGGGTCAATGTGTGGTTGGAAGATGTTTCTGAGCATAGCTTTGGTCTATTGCTCCAGCCCAGCCAACCAACTACTCCTGCCTAAGGTGGGGAAGAAGGGACCATGATAAGACAGTGAAATCTAAAGGAGAAGTATCACTTAAACCTCAAAGAAACACAGAGAGTGCAAATTGCCATCTGCAGATTCTGAAGTATGGGCATTGGCAGCTTCAACAGCAACAGGAAGTGGGCACTGGAGGCTCCTGGCACTTTCAGAGCAATGCTGGAAGCATTGACTGTATTGGTGCCATTAGTAAGAGGCTCAGCAACCTCTGAAAATTAATCCACTACAAAGGCCATAAAAGGGCAGATGGGAAATGACAGGTGCCCCCTAGTGTGGGGAGGACAGTGTCACTGAACACACAGAAGGTACCTGGAGAACTTCCAGAGATAAGTTAGACCTTGAAGAGAGACTTGAACTCTTGCAATTAATGATGGGGATGGAGTCAGAGAAATACTACTGGATGACCACGGTCCTATCTTCAGATTGCTGTCACCTGGGCAATGTGGTTCCCATCAGAACATGCTTGGCATCTTGCCTGGCATATAGCAGGTGATCTGAAAATATTATTTTTCCCCTTCCCACAAGATGTTGGCTAACTCAAGGGTCACTCACCAATTTTTGGGCAGACTGGTGGTCTCTGTTCATTTGCTCTATTATCGCTGTCAGCTCTGAGATCTGCTCTTCTAGGTCAGAAATGATATTAGTCCTGTGGGACAAGTGATTCTTCTCTCATCCAAAGAACTTACCATTCCATGCAGCCAGGGCCCCGAGAGTGATGGCTCTGGCCTGGTGAAAACATATACACCACCATCATCATGGGGGTTGGGGTGGAGGGGTGGAGGGGTGGAATGGTGGTCCAGGAGAAGGAATTGGCAGTAGGGTGGTTGAGCCCCAGACTGCCCTTTTGGGTAAGCTAGCCAGAGTGAGTAGGGTGGGTTGATGTCCTATTGAATAGCAGGGAAATAGGGATATGTTAGAAATTTATTAGAGTTTGGCCTTAACTTGTTAATAATTGAAATGAGGCTTGGAGGACTGGGAAAGAGAAGGTGGGGAAATAGGATTGAACCACAGACAAAGAATGGGCCAGAGATGGGTCTAAGAGGGTATTTAAGAGAGTGGCTTTAAGAACAGAAAATGGTGTTCTGTGTTTCTGAGTCTGGGGGCTCCATGATATCTGTAGATTATTCAGCTTTATTTGGTTGAGCCAGAGTAGACAGGGCAGCAGGCAGTGTTTATGTGCAGTGCAGCTGAGAGGAGGTCCTCAGTTCATGAGACTTTAACCCTTTTGGCCAATCATTCTCTATGTCCAACTGGTCACAGAAAGAATGTGGAGTGAAAAAACAAGAGACAGGACATAAGAGGAGAGGGTGCTAGGGTATAAGAAGGAAGAAAAGATGCATGAAAGTTGAATAATAGGGAACTCCTGTCTTTTGGCTGTGATCTTCAATATGAACAACACTCACAAGCATGGGCTATTTCTTACGTCTTATTTTGCCACAAACGGTGACAACTTTCTTAGAAGACCAAGAAATGGTTGTGGTGCTACCTTGTCTGTGGGCAATGACCCATTTTCCTCCTGCAGAGGGTTGTGGGTAAGCAGGGGAAAGAAAACAGGCCGAATGCTCCACTGGATGGGAAGAAGGAGCTCAGGTCTGGCTTATCTGGGTCAGGTCAGATCAGGGCGACTCCAGGGTCTGGCCTCACTCATAAGTGGATTTTTGGGTCCTTCAGCCTCATCCCCAATCTGAATCCCTTCTCAGAGGTAACCACTGCTAATAGTTAACTTGTATTCTTTCTATACACTACAAAGCAAAACCAAAAACCAAGCCAGATGTCACTGAGTCAATGCCGACTCATGGCGACTCCATGTGTGTCAGGGTAGAACTGTGCCCTACTAGGGTTTTCAATGGCTGATTTTTCAGAAGTATGTAAAATGCCAGGCCTTTCTTCCCAGGCACCTCTGGGTTGACTGGAACCTCCAACCTTTCAGCTAGCAGCCAAGCACATAAACTACTGCACCTCCCAGGGACTCCATACACTAATAAGTAATAAATACTTAATAAATTGTGTGTGTGTTTGTGTTTTCTCTTGCTGTTGGTGGTGGTCTTTTAGATTTCTGTCTTGGAAAGATAGTTCTCATAGCAAGCAAAAGCCACGAAGAAGAGATACGAGTTGGGAAGCCATTGCAGTAGTGCAGGTGAGATGCCTGAACTAAGGCAGGATAGTAAGGAGGGATTTAGAAGATGGAATTAAAAGGACTTGGTGACTGATTTGATATGATATTGGAGGATTAGAGAGTGGATGGGGCTCGCATGACAGAGAGGATGGTGGGTGCCCCACCCAGATGGAGTCAGGCTGGAAACTTCCACACTGCTTCTCCCAGAGGCATCAACTCAGTGGTATCTTCGGACATAATGAAAAAGAGGTGCATACTCAGGACTCCCAGAAACCCTGGGCTTATGTTTAATTCACACCCTCCAAATTCAGGCTGCTTTTTAACGAATATTTTATCTGTTTCTTACCCCCAGGAAGAACTGCTCTCTGTTAGTCTGAATGACACTATACCCAGTCATTTTCTGAGTCAGCTACCTGATCTGGTCTTCATTTGCTCCTTGGATCCAGTGACTAATGGGACCAGAGCAGACAGGTGGGCGTGGAGGGGAGCAGGCATCAAGAAACACGGTGAGGTGTGAAGAGAGCTTGCAGCACCTTCAGAGTAGGGATCCTGTGACCTGGGCATGCATGTCAGGGGGTCGTTCGAGAGGGCAGGCTGAGCCAGGTGGGGATAGCTTTTAGGAGCTGGATGTTGGACCAAAGACATTACCTGAAAGTTTCTACTTTGTTCATGATCTCTGATTCTGACTGCTTTTTTCTGTTGAACATCTCATCCCCCAAAGTGACAGAAATCTGCTCCCTATTCCGAACAAGGCGATAGCCAGGTGACACGTTTATCACTTCCTAGGCACCAAGGTGAAAGGTAAGATAACGCAGATGTGAAGCGCCAAGATTCCTCCAGATCTTCTACTATTGCCCACCTCACATCTTACAAACAGAGGCATGAAATAAGACTCCAGGGCCCATGTTCCCTTCCATGCTCTCCCCCAGTTACTGCTCATGTTGTATCTTCAGCACAGATTTTTCTCCTGAGACCTAATTCCAATATTCAGCTGGCTCCTGGATGTCCCACTCAGCTATCCTACAGGTCTTCAAGCTCAAAATGTGCAAAACCGAATCTTCAACAGCCCACTCTCTGCACTCTGCCCCTCAACCCTGCACCTCCTTCTGAGTTCTTCATCATGGTCAGAGGCCAGGAGGCAGCTGGGCATGATGGAAACCACTCAGGTATGGGAATCAGAGAGCCCAGAGTTTGAATCCAGCCTCTGCCACCTACCAATAGTTAATCAACATCGTCGTGCCTCAGTTTCCTCATAGGACAGAAGTACCCTTCCCCAGCACATTGTGATTCCCAAGTGCAGCAGAGGGTTTCCTGCATCTGAACATGAGCTGCATCCTGGCCTAGCTTCATTGTCACCATCTGGTTTCCCTGGGACACTGTCCTCACCCTACACAAGGTGGTATTGAGGGGTAATTAGATGCTGGCTCTGGGGTCTCGTTGACCTGAGTTCAAGCTCTGGTTCTGCCACTGATCAGCCATATATAATATGCCATAATAACAGCCCCTCCTCATAGGATCATTGTGAAAATTCAGTAAGTATGTATAAAGGCTCATGCCTGCACATAGTAGGTGCTCAATAAATGTTAGTCCCACTTCCCTCTTCCCATGTTTACTCACGTAAGGTAATTTCATACTCTCTTCTTTTTTTCCAAAATGGATTTTCACTCCGCAAGGGAAAGGTTTGCTCAGAAGCAACCAGAAAACAAAGAGGAGTTCAGAGCTTAGTAGCTACACCCTGATCCTGCCTTCCATCTGACCTCTGCTCTCTAAGCTCCAGCCACTCAACCTTCTTAGGGGATTCTTGGGTGGCTGGTGAATCTATCTACTGGCTTAGGCCCTGGTGAGAAGTTCCTTCCCCAAGAGGCTGAAGCGTTGTCTTACTTATGATGGTGGGGGTGCTTTTGTTTTGGGGGAGTATAAGCCACACTCACACACACACTCAGTTCAGGGAACAACGTGTATCCCACTTCTTTCATTGGAGAATGAAACATTCTACATAAACAAATGTTCTGGATAATGAGACATATTCCATTAAGACATAAAAACATTTCATTTCACATTGTTTTTCATTCAAACCTTTATATATGCTATATATAAAATGAATAACCAACACCACTGCCAGTAGCTGTTGAGTCAGTTTTGACTCATAGCAACACCATGTGTGTCCGAGTAGAACTGTGATCGATACGGTTTTCAGTGGCTGATTTTTCAGAAGTAGATGACCAGGCCTTTCTTCTGAGGCACCTCTGGTTGGACTTGAACCTCCAGCCTTTCAGTTAGCAGTGGAGTGTGTTAGCCATTTGTACCAACCAGAGTCTCCCTAGCAAATAATAGGTGCCCAATAAATATTTTCTGAATGAACGGAATACAGAGATTCATGCAAAGGGCTAAAACGGTTATACTTCTAAGCTTGTAAAATATGGGTAAACATTCTAATTTGTGAGTTAAACACACACACACGCACACATACACACACACAGATGCAACCTACAGACAACCTTAGACCCAGGAAAGTAATCAGCAAAAGGGTGAACACCACCATAAATAAGTGGGGCTCCCTGAGGCTCTGCCCATGGCATGATCCAGGCACTACGCCCTTTTAAGGCAGGAAACATCTATGGGCCACCCTAGCTGAAGGCTCATTTGCAATGACTTTGAAAGCTGCTGGGACAGGGAACCCCAGAATCTGCACATAGGGTCTGAGTTTTGGGGAAAATCTTGGTGCGTTCTGGATGTCTCTGATATCCCTGGCAGCAATTAGTTCAAGTCTAGCAGGGCTGTGACGGCCAAGGGGGACACATTATTTATCTACATTCCTCAAACCGTTCCTGCCACATGGAAATAAAAATACTTACTTTGGGACAAGAGGTTTTGTTGTTGGTTGGCAGTAACTGTGTTTTTTTGAAGCTGGTACAAGAGGAGTTAGCCTGAAAGTGAAAAATAAATAACTAAAATGTGAAAAACGAAAATTCAGAAACCTGTTTTAGCATCCCCAGATTAGGTATAGCCCCATGGTGACCTTAAATTCTGAACTCAAAATTGGAATATATGTTCTGACAACTGGAATCTTTACAACCTGGACGGTCTAGAGGAACCTTAGACGCAAGGCCTTGGCACTTGTTCACTGTCCCAGGGAGTCCCGAGATTGGCAGCACAGCTAGCCCCTCAGTTCTCAAAGCTCTTCATCCCATATTGAGGAGGTAGCTACCGGCAAGGCCTTGCAGTTGGAAGCTGTCCTCCCTGTTGCATTGACTCTGAGACTAGCAAGATCAGTGTGAAGGCCACACTTGCAGGGAAAGCTGTGTAAAGCTAGGCTTTCTGGCCCACTTGGGATTTTGCTATCAAGTTCACTGTTTTGGAAATCTTGTGAGATAAAGAAGACTGCAAATGGAACCCAAGCCCCTGGTCTTACCCTATCCCAGAAAGTCCTTACTTGGTCTTCCCTGTGGAGGTCTTGCCTGGTGGCCGAGGAGTCTTGATTAGCTTTCGTGGTCCCAAGTTCCAGGGGTCCCAGCAGGTGCAGTAGATGAGAGGGTTGGGGTACATGGCTCCAGGTCAGGGGCAGTCTTGGCTGCTGGGTCAGGAGGCTCTTGCTAAACTGGAGAAACAACAGCAGAGGGTTAAACTATTCACAGTCAAAACAGCAATACTTAGAGACAAATTGGGAAAAACACAGAGAAGGCCCACAGCACAGATGTGGATTCTCAGAGTTGTTGATCTGGTACAGGTCTTGCCTATGGGGTAACACCTCCTCCCTTGCCACCCAGTAGACTTGACTTGAAAGCAATTTAAAATTTGCCATAATTGAGTGCTTACTGTGAGTCTGTTTCACAGTAAATACTCAATTATTATTATCCAAATTTTACAGATGAGAAAGAATACTGAGGCTTGGAGAGGCCACAGGGATAGTAGGTTGCAGTTGGGAATCATGAGAAGGTCTGGGAGTCCCAGGGGAGTTGTGGCAAACAAGGTGGCAGGGAGGACATTAGAAGGGCTTTGGGCAATGGTCATTTACCAAACAGATGGCAGTATTTCAATAGCTGTGTGTATCAGCTAAGCATCAGCCCTTGACTTCCAAAACCCTCCCAAGAGGGAACCACTGTTAACAGTTGTTTTGGGTATCTTTCCAGAAATGTTCTATGAATATAGAATGTTCTATGAATATATGTAAAGTATGCTCTCATTTGTGTAAATTCTTTTAAAGATTTTGTATATAATCTTTACACAAATTTACAGAATTTACACAAATGAGAGCATACTTTACATATATTCATAGTCATTATCCATATAATCTATAAAATTTATACATACTTATAAATTATAAAATTCATATATATGTATGGCTTGCTATGAGTCAGAATTGACTTGATGGCACACAACAATTCTCTCTTCACATCAGCACAGATCTACTGCATTCACAGTGACTTTATGTTTCATTGTATATATCTAAGCACACAGGGTTTAATTTTTTTTCCTTTCTTTTTTTTAAGTATTCTTTCTTCCTCTTCTTTTCCTTTACTGCATCTCTCCAAAATGATTTTCCCTGAGACCTAGTAGGCTCAATGTGCCAACTGATGACACCATAGTCACCAGTGAGCCAGCCAAGTTTTCAGAGAGGTCACTGGTCAGTACTATTAACCTGTGGAAAAAAAATTATGTAAAACATCTCTTCCAAAGAGCTTACCTTGGACTGCCCGAAGATTTGTTTTTCCCATGTGGCTCCTTCCCAAGTCAAGAGTTTTAAAGAAACTACAATGTTATAGAGAAACTGTTCCCCATCAACACAAAATCAGAGGAGGTCAAATCCAGAGGCTCCAGAACTCAAGACTTCAGTGATCATTCCAGTTGACTGAAATACCAAAGCAGAAAATCCACACTACGTGTAGTGCAGAGAGACCTCCTCACAGTGAATCCAATCAAAGGCTTTTAAATTTTAAAAGGCTGAACTGGCGTGAATGTGAACTTCCATTCTTATAAAGACAATCTAGCTCGAGTCTCTCAGTATTGCAACGAAGGTCAAACTAGAGGAGAAAGTCACCCTTCCATTCAGGCTCCCTTGACTTGGGTCCTGAGTTGTGAAGTTGGTCCTCGCGAGATGGCAGGCGAGGGTTTGTTTATTTTATTGCTATGGAAACAGAATGGCAACACCTCATTGGCTCAGAGCTCTCTGCTCTTAAAGAGAAAGCTGAAGCAGCAGCCAGTTAAGAAATTCTCCAAGGCCCAAATCAGTGGCCACCCCTCAACAGCAAGGAATTTACACCCGATTCTGGTTTTGACTTTCACCACCAGCAATCAAGCAAAACAAACTTAAGATATATTTTCAGAGAAAATAGAAATGGCACTCTTAGGCTTAATTGGCCTATGGCAACAGCTGCCAGACAGAATCTGTAACAGATTTTAAATGCCTCTGCCATTTGTTCACAGAAATCTAAAAGTCTAAAGTAGGCACTTTTCCCCTTGAATTTAATAAGGTTTTAAAGTCTGTAAAAGTAAAAAACCCACAGGGCAGGGATCTTTTTCAGTCACCAAGGGTTTTAGACTTTTTTTTTTCCTAAATAAGGCTGCTTTTTCTCACTATAGAGAAAAATGCTTATAATAGAGTCCACCACCTGTCAGTTTGTCATACTGTAGAGACTTGCATGTTGCTGTGATGCCGGAAGCTATGCTACCAGTATTTCAGATACTAACAGGGTCACCCATGGGGACAGGTTTCAGTGGAGCTTCTAGGTTAAGACAGACTAGGAAAAAGACCTGTGATCTACTTCCAAACATTAGGCAATGAAAACCTTATGGATTACAACAGAACATTGTCTGAATCGCTTGCTTTGGACATGTCAGCAGGAGGGATCAGTTGCTAGAGGAGGGCATCATGTTTGATGAAGTAGGTGCCAGTGAGGGCTAGGGAGACACTTGGTAAGATGGACTGACACAACAGCCACAGCAATGGACTTGAACATGCCAGTGATTGTGAGGATGATGCAGGATTGAGCAAAAGTTCTGTTGTACACAAGGTCGTCATGAGTTGGAGTTGACAGCAGCTATTTATCTATCTATCATCTCTTATAGACTAGTGGCTTTCATTTTTATTTTACTGCAACTCATTGTAAGAAATGTATTTTGCACATTTTCTAAGTCAAAAGTTCTATGCAATAATACACTTATAACATGCTCTTCTCTTCCATTTCCTTCTTTTTAAAATTAAAGTTGAATTGCAATTCACTAGATTGATTCCATGGCCCACTGGTGGGTCACAAAGCAATTTATAACAAAAACCGTTAGAAATTTATCCACTCATTCAACTCCTTATTTATTGTCTGTGTGCCAGGCACTGTTGGCAGTTGTGAAAGGTATAGCTCAGCTTCTGTCCTCAACAGAGCTGAGCGATGAGTAAATTCAATAAAGGCACAATGGATCTTATGTTAGGGGATCCACCAGCTGCAGTGGGTGTTCACAGCAGCGATTTCTCATCTAATGCATCTGCCAAGTTTTAATCATTAGCCCATTGTCTCAGAGCTCTCTGCTCTAGATCTGCATATTAGAACGGTCATTCTGACTGCAGTGTATAGAAACAATTGGAGGGGCCAAGACAGCAGGCAGGGAAACCAGTGAGGAGTCTGTGGCAGTGGTCCAAATGAGGCAAATGGTGGCCTCCACTGCAGTGGCAGCAGTGAGGATGGAAAGAAGAGGAAGCAGTAACACTTCGTGATTGATTGGATGTCAGGATGAAAAAGAGGCAGTGATGACTCCTGGGTTTCTAGCTTAAGCAACTGAGTAGATGGTACCATTTATTGAAATAGGAAGAAGCCTGGGGGATAAACAGGAGAGCAGATCATGAGTCAGTTCTGCACATGTTGAGTTTGAGGTGCCAGGGAGACATCCAAGTGATGATGTCCAGAAGTTTATTACATGTTTCTGGAGCTCAAAAGGAGTCTGGGCTAGAAAGAGCTTAGGAATCATCAGAGTTAATATTTAAAGCCAAGGAATGTACCTTAGGAACCGTCTATATACCCTGATACTACCGATATACACGGTATCTACTATAGATACTGATACTAGCATAACTCAAACTTAATATAATGGAAACAGAGATGGAAGTCAATAGCATGCCCAAAGCCCCAAATCTTTACCCTCATCAAAAGGTCTTTGGGCTTAAATACACCTGTTGATGGTCATTTGTGGAAGAAAACACAGAAGCTGGGAATATCACTAAAGTTCATAGCAGAGAAGTAGTTTCATACTTTATTCCTCCAAAATGTTCATAATTCTGAGTTTAAAAAAAAAAAAACAATTCAGTTGTGAAGGAGATAGAGAATATCAAAGGACTTTTTTATTAGAGTCCAACAATTTTCAAGTTTAGTTTATTGGAAAGTTTCTAAATAGCTAAGGGTGTCAACAGTAAATTGTGGACTATAGGAAAAGAACTGCTTCTTACTTCCTGAATATTCTAAAACTTAAGATCTTGTATCAATGACTTCAGGCTTTATTTTTCAGTGATGTTACTTTGCTAAGGAAACAATATGGTATATATAGACACTCTGTTTATTCTATTTATTTTTTTAATACCTAAAAATGTACAAGATCTGTTAACTTCTGAAGTCTGTTGTTGGTTTGTTTTGTATGTGTTGGTTTGACAAATAGAAGCCGTTTTCCGTACCAAAAACAACATAATGGAAAGACCTAGTGCAGTATTGTTTATATCTGTGCAAAAGTACTGGGACAAAAGCACGGGCAATAAATGAAAATTTAAGATACTCATGTTTATTATCTGATTTACATTTGACAAAGCAAAGGTAGGTGCACAAAGAGCTGTCTGACAAGTTCAAAGTCCCATATACCAAATAGTATTGATCCCCTGGCTGAAGACAGAGAGGGCAGTGATGCCCACTCCTGGGCAGCTGTGCTCTGCAACATAACCACTCCGTGTACGACATTTTGCTGTTGTGTTGCCCGTGGAGCACAGGCCCGCACCCACTGACATCAAAGAAGTGGACCATTAAACACTAACAGCCTGATTTCCAGACGTCAAAAGTCAATGTTAGTAGCTACCAAGTTATTAATCATGTACTAGGATGGTCAGAAAGAATAACAAGCTTTGAATATTGAGAATTGGCTCCTATGAGCTCCTTCTAACTTATTTTCCTGAAAGACATATAGCACAAAACTTTTTAAAAAACTACTTTAACAGTGGTCATTAAGTTCTCCCTAAGACCCACTCCTAAGTCTATTTACATATGATTTGCGGTCATCAATAATTTTAAATTACTTTTTATAGATAAAACTTTTAATTCTGAGCTCACAAAGATATTCCTCATTCTATTTAATAGAATAGTCAGAAATACTTGAGGTATAATCACTGAAAACCTTTTTGAAGTAGGGGAAAAAAAAAAGCCTGGGTTTCCTCTAGTGGCAAGAAAGTACACACACAGTTGATATTATGGAGAAAACTAAAATGTGAACAAGTACCAAAGGATAACAGGTGCGTGGAGGAGGAACTTGCTGTAAGGATGCAGTCTCTCTTAACCGTACCTTGCAGACAATTCTGTTACAACAGAGATTTTCAGGCTGTACCAAAAGTGATTTTTAGGTGGAAATGTCAAAAGCACTAAAACTCAATTTTTAAACAAGGATTTACTTCTAGACACAAGCATGCACCAGTATTCAATTATTGTTTTTGGTGGAACATCAACATCAATCTAGTTTTCAAACACCTAACTCTGATTCTTTCTCATCAGATGTGCTTATTTGGCTAATTTCCCTAAACCAACCTCATGGCCATCAAGTCAATTCAGACTCATAGCAACTCTATAGGACAGAGTAGAACTGCCCCACAGGGTTTCCAAGGCTGAAATCTTTACAGAAGCAGACTGTCACATCTTTTTCCTGTAGAGCAGCTGGTGCGTTCAAACCACCAACCTTTCAGTTCACAGCTAAGTGCTTAACCAACTGTGCCACCAGGGCTCCTTAATTTCCCCCACCCCCTCCAAAGCAATGATCTCAAGTGGTCATTTGAGCAACTGTAATAAAAAAGTATACTAATTATAACTGAATACAGAAGACTGAAAAATCTAACTTAATTTATAGCTACTTATATAATATACATGTATCTGATAATTTGATACTTTATACTACTCTCTGGTCCTACATTTTTCTACTTCCCGGTGTTTCTTGGAAACTGTAATTGTCCAGGTAACAGGAAGACTAGTTTCTTAGAGGACAAATAAAAAGCTTTAAGAACTGACTACAGTAAGCCCCCCCAGAGTTACCTTAATAGAAACTCACACACTACTTTATTAAAAAGTGAATTGGATATTTTGGAAATTTAGACATCAGGAATTCTTCTGTGTAATGCCTACCACGTTCAGGGGAGACTCACATTCACTCACGAAACTGCTGGAATCCTTTCTGAACTTGTATGTGTATGCTCTGCTGACCTCAGCATGACTGAGTGGAGGGAGGAGAAAGGGGTGAAGACATTTTCGCTTTTTGTTGAGAAACTTATTTAGAAAAATTTTTTCAAAAAGTTAAAAACTCACACATTCTTACCACTGCCTGCAAGCTAGATTTCCACCCCTTTGAGCTCACAGCTCTCAGGCAGGAAAGGAGCGTCGAGAGAGAGGGAGGAAGCACCTTCCTCTGGCCTGGGAATAAGTATACCAATGGGAGCCCCATTGGTAGAAGCAAAACTAGTCAACAATTCTTCAGGAAATTGCCTTTCAGTGAAGTCAGGACAAAGGAGCAACACATTCACAAATTAAGCACGAAATGATCAAGTAATATGTCCCCACCCTCCATTTTCAAAAACAATGTAGTTAGCTCCCTCACTCATCTTCTCTCCATTACGTCTTTCATATAATGGCATTTATTTCGAACAACCTTGACTAGATAAAGTCATGTCATCTGATGAAGAGCAGACCTTGATCAGCAATGCTCAGAAAACAGATCCATTTTTTCCCAATTCACAGGCTACGTCACATTGCTGACTGCTGAAACCTAACTTCAAGGTCTCACTTTGCCATTTCACAGCTTATAAAAAAGAAAAAAGAAAAAAAGGAACCCCAGAGAAAACACAAATTCTTTGACTCTCCCTTTAAAAAGTTCATTTTCTAATTCTACACAAGAACAAGCAGATGTGCTTTAATTTTATTTTACATTAAAAAACAAACAAACAACAAAACACACACACAATCTCAAAGCAAGCACCTGGGTTTTACTTCAGTTTATAATTTAATGTGCCTGAGAATTTTTGTGCAAATACATGTCATCTTTCTTTCATTAAAAATATGCATAGCACACTTTCGAAAAAATTTAATTGCAATCAACTTTCCTTACAAAAAATTTTACATATATAAATATACAACATTCCCTAATTCCTATTGATTGCACTTCTGGTTTAACTCCTTCCAGCCTCCAAGGAAATCTGAAAGACATACAATTATGTTCATACTCCTTGGCCACTTCACTTATTCAGAAGAAATATTCTGGAAACAAGTTCCCTTGGTTCCAATATACCCATATCTTCCTTCTTCTTAAAGTAAACCTCTCCCAGCCCCACACCCCCATGATTAATATTTTTTGCGTGTGTGTTATATAAAAATATAAATTTAAAAAAACAAACAGCCAGATGCCTTCATTAATTGCAAATACAAAAGGAATTTGGGTAGTATTTGTGTTCCCAGTGGCTCAAAGGCCTGAAAACAAGGAAAAAGAGAGTCTCCACTTCTGACCTTAAGCAAAAAGATAAAATTCCTTGTTTTGCTAATGCTGTGAATATACTATTTGATAGACACGTAATTTAACCAGACATCAACAGGGGAAAACATACAAGCCATCTCATTATTGTCTCAATAACACTGAGCTCACCCCACTAATCCTTCAGACGGCTTTCTTTAGTCAGCAGTCAAAACTGCTTCTCTCCCCATCTCTCTAATCTAGGTTCTCCCTGCTTACACTTACTGGAAGTAAATGTGCTAGCAAGTTCAGTACTTCTGGTATGTTTCAGTATTACTGAATTTATTTTTTTATTCACTTTTTATTTTCAAGACAAGAAAATCTAACCAAAGGAGTGTATTAAACTTTCCTTTCGTTTCTATCTCCAAACACTCATGGTCCTTTTATAAATTCAATTTACCAGACCTGGTCCATTAGGGCCCCATCGCAGTTCTGTTTCCATCCCTCCGCTTTCCCCTTTCCACATTCACAGCCCTTCTACAACATTCCTTTACTCTCAAGTCAGACCAGACCACACGTGTCAGTGCATGTCTATCCTTCATGTGCTAATCTGTACAAGAGGTCAGTTAATTGCTGAGCCTTAGTCCTCCTTTAGGATACCCATTTTGGGTGAGGATGTGCAAACTGGGGTTCCAAAGCTAGCCAACATGACTGGAAGACTCTGATTCCTCCTCAGTCCACCTAATAAACTGCCACTTGAATTTAAATAAACAGCAGAGTCTGGTTTTTGAAGACCAATATCTGCCTCTTGGCTTCTTCCATTCTCCTGGGTATCGGGGGTCTTGACCACTCTGGCTATCCCTAGTCTCTTCAACCTGTCCACTAAATTCATCTTCAATTGGCCAACATCAGGAGGGTTCCGGGAAGGTCTCAAGCCATACATCTCCTGGAGGAATGTTTCAGCTGGTCGAGAGGCCAAAAAATTTTCAGAGACGTGTGCTCGAGGCTCAAAAGGCAAAGGAGAGGGACAAAGTGAGTGAGAAGGTGAATTTGGTGGAGTGGAAGGAATAGTCAGGGTTTTGGGGGGAGGCTGGAGGATGGGGTTCTCTGAAACTGGGCTGTGGTATACTTTAGCAGAGATGCCACGCTCTTGTAGAAGTTTGGCCAAGCTCACGGTGCTACTGAACGTTGTAGTAGAATCTCGTCGGTTGGTGATAGATTCACCAATACTGAGTCTATACGACATGGCAGGAGAATTCACCGCTGTGCTTGATGAACTGCTTCCACTACTTCCACAGGATAATGAAGGGAATCCAGAACTTGGAGGAAAAAAAAAAGCAGGAGAGAGAATTTAGGAATAAAAATCAGTTCCTAAGTCAGCACTTAAAATAATCATAGTAATTATCCTTAGTAAAGCTAGAGGAACTGGCCTCCACATTAGTAACTGTACCCTGTGGAAGAGATTCAAGTAATAAAAATTCTAATATGATACTTTAATGAGTGGCTCATTATTTATAAATTGCAACTTAATTATTAACTTATTGAAACATATTTCTTTTCAACAGAATGTGAAAAGGTGGCTGTATCCTAAATTTTAACACCAAAACATTCTTAAATTTGAACTCAAATGTGTATCTGTGGGAATTCAACTGAATTTTATGATAGAAATTTTAAAAATATAAAGACTAAATAAATTAATCTTTAGAAATTTTGATTAATGCATCAATTAAAAAAAAATGAACCACACCAAGAGACAATGAACCATGGGTAAACAATTCTTCATCTTTTTAGAAAATTCAACATTTCATAATTAAACCTAAGATGTTCCTCTAAGGAGACATTAACTTCTTAAACTTTTAACTTTCTATTACTGAGAAATAAATAACCTCTACGTGTTAAATTTCTGTTTTATCAAGAAATGCTAATTCCAAACAACAGTAACATCAAGCTACTCATGGAATGCATTTTTCTCAACCTTGACTTAGAACATATGTTTCTGGGGAATTAAAAAAGTTAAAGCCATTGACAGCTATTAGAATCTTTCTTCTCCTTTGTTTAGTTAAATAGGAAAAAAAAAAAAAGGCAAGCTAAATAAGAACTAAAATATTGCATCAGAATGCGATATCCTACAAGTGGTGAGGGTCAATATTGAGTTCAAGCATGACAGACACTTTTAAAGAAGTGGTGATGGAATGAAGATGTGGTACTTCTTTGGCCAATTTTTCCCCTCTAGGCAAATGTTATCAGTATTTCATAGATAAACTTTCACTTCAACACAAAATACTCAGTATATCAAGATTTGTAAAGATAATGAACAAAATGCAAATGTAAGATTAATAAAACTTTGTAGAATTCCAAATTGTGTAAAAGAGGCAAAATTCAAACAAGTTTGACTCAATGCTCCTTGGTCAAACCAGTCCAATTAAGAATCTCTGATTTGTGCAGTTTATATATAGCACAGTACAGTTTATATGTACTCCTAGTCTCCCACTTCTCCCATCCCCACTTTAATGTAGAATTGCCTGTCCTTTCCCAAATTGTACACTTAGTATGATGACATCAGCCTGAACTGAGAGGCCTTTCAGGAATCAATTTTATAAAACGTGCCATCTTGTTCATTGTAAGAAAAATGTAGAACAATGTAGATATGTCTGTTCATTATAGACTTTATTGAGATATTTACTGGATATCACCCAAATGCTTCCCTAAACAACTAATTTGCTACTATTTTATAGACTTTGTGGAGTCATAACCTTATTTCCCTCCAAAATGGTAGCTAGAAAGTTAAGACTCAAATAGATGGCTCACCTTAGCAAGTATATAAGGCTTTATGGTACAATTTATATGCTAGTTTATTCTTCTCTCCATTTATATCACTATTTGATTCCTCTTTCTTCATCTTTCTTTTCTACCAGCTAACATTATCCCCTGTAGTGTTCTACATATTGAAAGCTACTTTAGGTCTTTTTGAGAATTGGGAGGATAGAAACAGCAGCAATGTGGCTTAATAAATCCCTGGATTACATGTTAGACTATCCACGTTCTAGCCCCAGCTAAGTCATTTACTAGCTCTCTGCCTTTGGCCCTTGGTTCAGTTACCTGAACTTTCTATGCCTCAGTTTCTTCATGTATATAATACACACTTGCCTGCCTACTTCAGTTACAATGCCAAATGAGAAAATGCAATGTGCAAATACTCTAAAGGCAAATTTATCACAGAACATTTATTAAAATTCTGCGAATTAAAATGAATGCAATTTTTTAAAAATTCATGAAAACATAGCTGAGGAAAGAAGTGAGGCCCCCAACTGCCCAGACTTTTACCTGGGGGTGACCTGAGTGATGTCAGAAGGATGTAATATCCTACAGGTGGTAAAGGTGAACGTCGAGTTTGTGCATGACAGACACTTTCCTGGGTTTGAGGCTGCAGCTTAAGTAGAGATTGTCAGGGAATAAAACACAAAATCAAAAGATTAGGTTTGTAATGTAAAGGAGTTCATCATTATTTGTTAATAATACAGCATTTATCAAGTGTCTTTTGTACTAAAGATCTCCAAATCCGGAAATAAAACATTATACATAAAGACTGTGCTAGTATCAACTTGTTAGTATATAGCTCAATCCTCCAACACTTTAAAACTGTAAATCAAAAGGCATAACAATAGCTTAGAAATGAGAGTTAAACACACTCTGAAAAAATACAAAAAAAAAAAATCAAGATCTAGCCATCCAATCTATCTAGCCAACCTATCTAATCCAGTGTTTCTCAAACTGTGGTCTGCAGGCCCCTTGGGAAGCTACAAGGTCAATATTACTTTCACAGTAATGTTAAGATGCTATTTGCCTTTTTGACTATTCACATTTGTACTGATAGTATAAAAAAACAACAGTGGATAAAACTACTGGTGTTTTAGCACAAATCAAGGCAATGGTACCAAGTTGTACAAGTATTCTTCACCGTTATGTACTCACAGTAAAAAAAGGAAAAACAAAATCCAGATTCACCTAAGAATGTCGTTGATGAAGCAGTAAAAATTAATTTGTTAAATTTTGACCCCTGAATCTTTTTAATATTCTGTGTGATGAAATGGGAAGTATGCATTACACACTTCCGCTAGGTATCAAGATACGTTGGCTATGTAGAGGAAAAGCACTTGTGTAATTGAATGACTTGAAATTTTTTCATGGAACACTGTTTTTAGTTGAAAGAACAACTAACAAACAATGATTATTCAGACTTGGGTATTTGGTAGACGTTTTCTTGAAAACGAGTAACATGAGCTTGTTCCTACAAGATAAACAGCCAGCTGATATTATTTGCTGCCAATAACAAACTTTTCAGTTTTCAAGTGAAAATTATAATTTTGAAAAACTTGTATCAACTACTGAGAGCTTGAAAACTTCCCAGTATTTAAAGGCTTTTTTGATGAGATAGGTGGTGATATTAATGAATATGGTTTCAATATATAATGAAATATGTCAAAATGTTTGGGAGATCTGCATAACCAGTATTTTCCAAATGACCAGTGCATCATGTTATGAAACCATGCATGGATAAAAGATGCATTCAAAGTATAAGGCAGACCAATGGATCTTAATGTAGCAAGGTACAAAAAGCTTATTGACAGGGTTTCAGATTCCATATTGCGATAAAACTTCAAGAAACGGCTATTAATCTTTCCTTTTCCAACTATGTATCTGTGTGAAGCTTCATTTTCTTCATACACTTGAACTGAAACAACATACTGCAATAGATTGAATATACAAGTTGATATGAAATTCCAGATTTCTTAATAAAAAGCCATAAAGAAACTTGCAAAAATGTAAAATACTATCATTATTTAAAAAAAAAATCATTTTTTATTAAACATGTTATTTATGTTACAATTATTATTTTTAAACAAATTAATATTCTAAAAATTTCTCAATTTTGGTTTCTGCTATGATAAATATCAGTGGATATAACCGTCATAGACAGACGCTCTGAAATCCTCAATGACTTTAAAGAATGTAAAGAGATCCAGAGACCAAAAGGTGTGAGAATCACTGGCTGAATCTCTCTCTCTGCCCAATCTACTTATGCAGGGCTTACTAAGGCAAAGTGGAAAGAACTGGAAAGGCCAATAATTACTAATGATATAGATTTTCATTATCTTATATCTCCAAGACTAAGTACACTCCAGTGAGATTTGAACAGAGATAGCCAGCTGACCATACAGTAAGAATGCAAAGTACTACTAGTTACTAGGCTATATTCAACCAAGCATTCTTCTCAGCTGTATCCAGCCCACCTGCTGAAGTAATGGGCAGGAGGAAGATCCCTGTTACTGGCTTGGATACTGAAGGTTCCTGTTCCACTTGAAGAGGCTGCTGAACTTGAAAAGTGATACCCTCTTCTTCATCCTCTTCCAAATCTGAGAGGTGATAGATGGCATCCTCGGGCAATTGGGTAAAGCCTTTAGTGATGACACCTGGTCGTGGATCAAGAATGGTTCCCAAGTTTGGTTGAGCAAGCTGCTGCCAATGGTGTAGAGTTTGTGATCCTGAGTATGCAAGACAAAAAACAAAAGGCATGAAAATTAAATCTTAAAACTTGAAACAGAAGCTAAAATTACATATGCAATAGTGGCAATGATAGAAATTAGTTATCTGGTCTTAATATTTTGGTAAAATTTGCAAATTAAAGTGCTCTGTGGAAGACTGACAAGATAACTGAAAGTATGAATAGTCTATTTCAAAAGTTAGCATTAAAAAGGACAGCTAAAGCAACATAAAGAGTATCATGTCACTGAATTGTATATGCGGACACTGCTGAATTGGCAAGTGTTTTGCTGTGTATATTTTCACAACATCCATCCACACACACACACACACACACACACACACACACACCCACAAGCAGGTGATAAAATAACAACAACAACAAAAACGCAGTCTAATTAGGAAGCAGAATGCTGAGGCAATGATGAGAAGGAAGATAAACACCTCAGAATTGGGATCTTCTTTTCCCAGGTCACAAAAAATCAAGAGTCCCTGGCCTGGGACTATGCCTCTGAACTTTGAAATCAAAAATCAGGCTCCTAGGGTGGAAGACACCTTGAATTCTTGGTGGTTTGTTTATGCACCTCCCCACCCTGATCATGACTTTCCTTTTCCCAGGCTCCCAGACAGAGTAGGAAAATGAGGAAGTAATAAAAGGAGGATATATCCCTTTGGTGCCAGTCTCTGAACCCTGATGAAGGATCACCCTGAGCATGTGCACCAGAAGCAACGACTTCATACACTTTGTCACTACAGTCATTTCATCCTAAAAATATCAACTATGACAAACACCTGCACTGATCATTAATGAATAAAACTAAGTTACAGATCCTTTGAGTTTTAGAGTCCTTACAGATTACTTAACAAGCCCTGGTGGCACAGTGGTTAAGCACTGGGCTACTAACCAAAAGAATGGCAGTTTGAACCCATCAGCTGCTCTGTGGGAGACAGATGTAGCAGTCTGCTTCCATAAAGATTTCAGCCTTGGAAACCCTATGGGGCAGTTCTACTCTGTCCTGTAGGGTTGCTAAGAGGAGGAATCGATTTGATGGCAACAGGTTATAGGTTACTTAAAATTCTGTCTAACACAGAACTCTTACAATAACAGAAGAGAATCATTTGAAGATTGTCGATATGCCATAAAACAAAGATATTTATTTTGAATTTCAGTTCTGTCTTAGAAACTTGCAAACAGTGTTAACTAACAGAATGGACAAAAGAAATATACAGGTACATACACCACCAAGTAAATTATATTTCTTGGGCAAACAATTGTTTTCTCAAAAAGTGGGTAGAGATGAAGGAGTATATCTAGATCATTTATATTTATCTATCATACCCCATTTATCTTACCATGGAATGGCTGTCAATGATATTCCTTAGCAAAGAACAAGGAAAGATTACTTCTCTTTTCTCACACTTATATAATATAAATAACATCAGTAGAAAGAACTGACAGCTGATGACAGAGAGAAAGCAGATCTCTTCATTCATTAATTTTCCACAAAGTACTATAATACACTCTTCACCAAACCAGCAGAGATCTAGGGATACTAAAAATCTCCTCTGTGCATATTGCTCTTATAATTACAACACAAGTCTCAGTTCCAGAGAAAACAAAGTCCAGTAAGCCACATGGCTTGGGAAGGGCTCTAATTAATTTCTTACCTTCAAGGGGCTTGACAATTTGTAATTTTTCTGGCATAAAACCACGAAGGCAACTGGCACTGCTGAGGTCTGTTATCTCTGACTGGTCGGTGCAGAGAGTAGCAAGGCTCTTGGTGGGGGTGCCACAGCCACTAAGCCCTTCATTTTGGTCAGCCAGAATCTGGATCTTCCGCTCCCATTCTTGAGCAAAGAACTGCTTCTCACTTAAATAGTTTTGTCGACGCAGACTAAGGCGATGCAGAGCTGTAGCCAAATCATTATCTCCAGAGGGTCCCGGTTGACCCATCTCCTGAGTGTTTCTATGGGGAAATCACATCACTGTAAGGGTCATAAGCACAACCTGGATTTCTCACTTCCGCAATGGCGGATGTTCAAGAGACTGACCTTAAAAATACACAATTTCTTTCTTAAATGTCTGGAATATAGAAATAGTACCAACAAACCAGTGGTGTCGCTAGGGTTGGTGTCACCCAGTGCAGTAGCTCATGGTGTCACCCCCTCATGCTAATTACCACAATATTGTAGCTAAAACACCAGAAAACTTGGACAAAATCAGAAACTATAAAAACATCTGCATCAACGAAAACAATAGCACATGCTTATAGTGCATGTGGACGAAACCACCTGATTCAAAGCATCACTGTAACTGGGTAATAATGACAGCTCTAACCGGAGCACATTAGAAGGTTCACAAAGTATATTAGTATGAGTTTTAGCCTTGTAGGTATCTTGATACATGTAAGCTGGACTTATGAAAAAAGTTCTTGTTGCTGTAACTAACTATAGGGATATTTTAATTAAAAAAACAATAAATTTCTGCTGAAACACTGCACAAAAATTTTATAGACAGTCATTTTGGTGTCACTCCCTCTGACAGTGTTACCTAGTACGGTCTGCACCCGCCTAGTGACACCACTGCAAAAAATCATCAACAATGCTATATATCATATTTACAGATCATTTCAAATGTCTTCAGATAGGAAAAAACATACTTTATTATGTTGTGTTTACTAACTTTTCTACCTCATTTAATTTATGAAACTACAGATATGACCAACCATAAATTCAGTTCAGGTAGTCAAAAGAAGTAAATATTAACATATTTCACTGACTCTATAATACCACTGATTACAAGAGGAACCATTATTTTATGTACTACTAAGAAAGAAAAAATGCTACCCATTAAATTATGACATGCCATTAACTGCAAAACATACAATTTCAAAAATATTAAACGTGAAAAAAACTTGCTCTGGGCCATAGAATCCTCCATGAATACTAGAGAACATTTAAAAGAAAACAGCAAGACTTGTATAATACCGCATTTTCATAGTTTTGAGATGTACATTTTTTCACTTTTCAACAGTTTTGAAATTGAGAGGTAGCGTAACAACTGATATCAAAAGAAAGAGTAGCAAGGCAGATTGTAGTCACTAATGGCTACTAGGTGTGAATTTGCATAGATCTGTTTGTTAGATCTTCTCTTAAGCTAACTGTGTAATAATTACACACTTATATATGACAGCAGTCATATATAAAGTTACTGTGGGTACAGAACATTGTCCACTACAAACAGGCAATACAATTAAAAGCCTAGTGTGAGGGACTTCTGCATCAGGAAGGATTTTCCTCAGGTACCAAAGATCTATCTTTCAAACTCTTTCAGCTGACTTCCCAAAAAAGCTGTTTAACTTCTACTTATATGTAATTCACTGAAATGAATTAATGAAAAGAAAAAAAAAATCTTTAAACAAATAAGACACTAACAGAAACGCTGATTTTCCTCAACATGCATTCAAACTATATTGTTTATCCTAAAGGCAGTGTTATGGATTGAATTGTGTCCCCCCAAAAATGTGTGTCAACATGGCTAGGCCATGATTCCCAGCATTGTGTATTTGTCCACCATTCTGTGATCTGATGTAATTTTCCTATGTGTTGTAAATCCTAATCTCTACCTGTGGTTAATGAGGCAAGATTAGGTTATGTTAAAGATACAACACCCTTACTCAGGTCATAGCCCTGATCAGATGTAACAGGAGTTTCCCTTGGGTGTGGCCTACGTCACCTTTTCTTACAAGAGATAAAACGAGAGAGAAGCGAGCAGAGAGACGGGAACCTCCTACCACCAAGAAAGAAGAGGTGGAGCACAGTGAGCCCTTTGGACCCAGGGTTCCTGCACTGAGAAGCTCCTAGACCAGGGGAAGACTGATGACAAGGATCTTCTCCCAGAGCCCACAGAGACAGAAAGCCTTCCCTTGGAGCTGGCATCCTGAATTTGGACTTCTAGCCTCCTAGACTGTGACAGAATAAATTTCTGTTTGTTAAAGCCATCCACTTGTGGTATTCTGTTATAGCTGCACTAGATAACTAAGACAGACAGCAAAAAGGTTCAGACTACAAGCATAAGTTATGAAAAAGTGTCATTGGCCAATGACCAAAAAGATTCAGACAAATTTGTCTTTGAACATGAAGATGATTTTAGATGCAAACTTTGCAATACTGAAGAAAAAAGTGGTAAAGAATTGTATAGTTAAATGAAAATTCCATTTTAAATACATTCAATTAAATGCAGCCTCTTCATTCCAAACTATTATGAAATGATCTACCTTACAAATAATGAGATAGGGCACCATTACTGAATGAAAACTGGCAGTTCTAGAATCTTCTTGGGATCATACAGATTAATACTGCAATTTGAATATGTGAATCTGGTTATGTGAACTCCACAAGAAATGCAGAATCACTGCCACGATCTATGTTTCTTACCTAGGAACCTCCTCTGAGGTGCTGTCCTGATTGAGAAGTGTTTTGTCCTCTGTTTGTTGTAAACTTGACTCAAAAGGTTTTGCTGTCATGATGACACTTGAACGGTTGGAGCCTGGGATGGGTAGAAGAGCTGGGAATGGAAGAGAGCGGCCCCGTGTGTCATTGGCAGCCTTGACCGTATCAAATACCCGTTTCTGCTGGGCTCTGTCAAAAAGGAAGTATTCATTATTGACACAGTGCTTTAGAAAGAGACACGTTATGTGCAATTTGTTAAAAATAAAGCCAACCTGAATAGCATCTAAAGTTTAGTGCAGATTAGGAGAAATCTTTAGAAGATAAACTTTAGGATAACAGAGTTCTCACAAATGAGTTTTTTTACTATGAGGGGAAAAAAAAAACCCAGAATAGTAAGGCATTTATTTATTCTCACTAATCCTTATCACCTTGGATTGTAGTTTCTTTCTATTTCCATTCCAATGCTTGGGTAACAACACATGTGACTGGGACTTACTTTTGTTTAAAGACAGAAGATTCCTCATCCAAACTCAACTTTTTACGCATGGTCCCCTCAATCTCAGCTGCCAGAGATTCCTAAGCAAAAAAGTATTTTAGATTACTAAAGGGATTATATAAGAATCCTGCTGAAGCAAAGGAATTACTCTTAAATAAATTAACAGAGTGTCTACAATCCCATACTTTTGGTGTTTTAATAAAATGCAAGAAAATAGGCTCAGGATAAAAATCCAGATATTCTGGAAAATTAATTTTTAAACAAGAATCAACTATCTTTTCATGACATATTTTCACAGGAAAACAGTGAAAAAACAATATGATAAATAGAAAATATTACATATACAGACATACAAAAATAAAAGGTCTGAAAGGATATAAACCAAGATGTTAATAAGTAATTCTCTGGAGGATAGGATTTAATGGTATTTAACAATTCCTTTTTGCTTCTCTATAATTTCTAACTTTTCTGTAATAAACACGTGTAGCTTTTATAATATAAAAAAAACAACCTTTCCCTTTCCTTGGTCAGGGATGAGGATTCAACTAGCAGGGGTGGCATGCTCATGATTTTTAATAGCTATAGATACATGAGTATAAATATGGATGGAAAGATATAGATGTGTACTGTATGGCTGAATGTATAAACATTTCCTAGCTCTATCTGCTGAGAGGGTCTAGCAGCAATGATATTCCAGTGGCAGTGGGCACACTTAGCAGCCAGAACTTGGATTCTAAACACCATTTCTCATTAAAAGGAACCAGAGATCCCTGGAGAAATGACTGATTCAGGGCTTGGGACAAGGAAAGTACAAGATGAGCTTAGAATATGTTTTGCCAGAAAGAAAGTACTCGAAGAAAGACGTTATTGTTGTTAGGTGCCGTTGAGTCGGTTCTGGTCCATAGCGACCCTATGTACAACAGAATGAAACACTGCCCGGCCCTGAGCCACCTTCATAATCATTGCTATGTTTGAGCTAAAAAAAAAAAATGATAGGGACATTTCAAAGAACACAAGAACAGCTTGAAGGAGCCTCCCATTGGCCAATCTAGGATAATCTGAGTACAGAATAAACAATAATAACAAAGGGTTACATGAATTGGAGTATCTGAATAAAATAGGAATCTGCCTTATAGTGGAAAAAACTGGCAGACACTACCTTTAACATGATCAAATTTAGTATCACCAGTTATGGGATTAACAGACATTGTGCACCTCCTGATATGCCATAGAACATGGCATTACTTCTGTGATATTTCTGCCCAGAATGCATTATCTGAATCCAATCATGAGGAATCATCAGACAAACCCAAATTGAGTTTGTATACAAAGGTCATGAAAGACAAGTAAAGACAGAGGAACTGTCCCGGATTGAAACAACAAAATGTGGTTTCCTTAAAGGGATTATCTTAGTTATCTAGTGCTGCTTTAACAAAAATACCACAAGTGGATGGCTTTAACAAACATAAATTTATTCTCTCACAGTTTAGGAGACTAGGAGTCCAAATTCAGGGCACTAGTTCCAAGGGAAGGCTTTCTCTGTCGGCTCTGGTGGAAGGCCTTGTCATCAATCTTCCCCTACGTCTAGGAGTTTCTCAGCACAGGGATGCCAGGTCCAAAGGAAGCACTTCATTCCTAGCTCTTCTTTCTTGGGGGTAGGAGGTCCCTCTCTCTCTGATTACTTCTCTCTGCTTTTATCTCTTGTAGGGCAGTGAACAGCGGTGACTCAAGATACATCCATCTGATCCTACCTCATTAACATAACAAGCATAACCTAATCCTCATTAATGTGACCTAATACTGCCTCATTAACATAACAGACAACTCACTCCCAAATGAGACTATAACCACAGGCATAGTGGCTAGGATTTATAACATTACAAAATGGAGGCTAATCAGATCACAAAATGGAGGATAACCAAACAATACTGGGAATCATGGCCTAGTCAAGTTGACACATATTTTGGGGGGACACAATTCAATCCATGACATTCTACCCTTTGGCCCCCCAAAATTCATGCCCTTGTCACATGTAAAACACATTCACCCCAACATATCATCCCAAAAGTCTTAAATTGACTCCAAGTCCAAAATCTCATCTTCTATAAAACTCCTCTTCATCTGTGAACCTGTGAAATCTAGAATACAAGTTATCTGCTTCCAAAGTACAATGGTAGAACAGGCACAAGGTAGACATTTCCATTACAAATGGAAAGATGGGAAAACAGGCAATGAGCAACTCCAAAACCCAGCAGAGCTAGACCATCTGGGCAACAGCCCTACCCTTCCAGACTCTGGGTATTGCCCACACTCTCTGAATTCTGGATGGAGACCCCTCAGCCCTGGGCTTCAACTTCGCCTCCCAGGCCCACTGGAATGGCAACTCTGTTCCCCTGGCTTTGAGTGGCCCCATTCTCCCAGTCCATCTGCGTGGCAGCCCTATTCTGTCAGCCCCCGGCAGGCCCCATTTTTCTGCCCTTTGGGCATGGCAGGCTCACCCTCTCAGCTTTGGGCAGTGGATCTGGCCCCATTCCCCTGGCACTCGTGAATGCCAGCCCCACACTCTGGAACCAACTTGGTGAAGGTCTGACTCTTTGAAACCTAGGAGGCTGTGGTCCCACCCTTTGGAACCCCAGAGGTAATAGCCTACCCTTTGAGACCCCAGAGGTCAGAGTCCTACCCTTTTGAGACCAAAACAGTTCTGCTGCCTGTTCTTATCTCTTCAGCTTCTGATTCCTTGGCCTCTCGGTCCCTTGGCCACTTGGGCCTCTTGGGCTGGCCTGGACTCTGCCCTGCTTGGGCAAGTGTTACAAAGCTCTTCAGCTCTACCAGTAAGTGCCTGGAGGCACCCCACTCTGCCAGGAAGCCTTGGCCCAACGGCACTCAGCTCTTTTCCTCTGTGGGTTGGCTCCTGAGCCGTCTCGCGCCGGTCTCCTGGTTCTGCTGTCACTGTTTCTCTGGTGCTGCTTCTTGCCATCTGTGCCATCTCTGGTGTTACAGCTCTCCTTACTTCCTTCTGAGTCCTCACCAGAATTGTCTTTGATGTCCGTAATTCCACCAACAGTCTCTTCAAGGCCATCTAGGCTTTTACTACCACGCATGTTCAAACTCTTTCAGCCTCTACCCATTACTCAATTCCAAAACTGCTTCCACATTGTAGGTATCTGTTAGAGCAGTACCCCACTCCCAATACCAAATTCTGTCTTAGTTATCTAGTGCTGCTATAACAGAAATATCACAAGTGGATGGCTTTAACAAACGTAAGTTTATTCTCTCACAGTTAAGGAGGCTAGCAGTCCAAATTTAGGGTGCCAGATCCAAGGGAAGGCTTTCTCTGTCAGCTCTGGGGGAAGGTCCTTATCTTCAATCTTCCCCTGGATCTAGGTGTTTCTCAGCCCAAGGACCCTGGGTTCCAGGGACACGCTCTGCTCCCAGCTCTTCTCTCTTGGTGGTAGGTCCCCCTCTCTCTGCTTTCATCTCTTGTAAGGCTGTGAAGGAGCGTGACTCAAGATACACTCTAATCCTACCTCATTAACACAAATGTAACCTAATCCTCATTAACATGACCTAATCCTACCTCATTAATGTAACAGGCAGCTCACTCCCAAATGGGACCATAGTCACAGGTATAGAGGCTGGGATTTACAATACATCACAAAAGGAGGATAATCAGATGACAAAGTGGAGGACAAACACAATACTGGGAATCATGGCCCAGCTAAGTTGACACATATTTTGGGGACACAAGTGAATCCATGACAAGAATATTATTGGGACAATCGATAAAATCTGAATGGGCTCCTGTGGATATATCAATTGTATACAATGTCAGTTTCCTGATGTTGATGGTTGTAGTGTGGTTAAGTAGGAAAATGTCCTTGAGGGTGCCCTTGTTTTTAGAGAATACACACTGAAGTCTTAAAGGGCAATGGAGTATATCTGCAACCTGCCCTTGAATGGTTCAGGAAAAAGAGAGAGAGAGAGAGAGAAAGAAAGATACAGAATGTTACGGTAAATGTGATAAAATGTTAAAAACTGGGGAATCTAGGTGAATATATATGACAGCTCTTGCATTATTCTTGGAACTTTATTCTAAGTTTAAAATTATTTCAAAATAAAAAGTTAAATAACCACCAAAATTCATGCCCCCATATCCTTAAGAAAAATCAACTAAAATTTATACTTCTGGTCTTTTAAAAAAATTTCACAAGATTGTACTTCAGTATTTAAGAACCAGATTGTTAAAATAATCCTTTGAACCAATATGACAAATTCTGCATAAACTCAGACATTTCATTAATTTTCTTCATTTAAAAAATACTATTGAGTTTGGTCCATAAATAAATAATATCACCTGTGAGTACTGTGATCCTCAAAATAATCATCTAGATGAAACCAAATGGTTAACAGACCAAAGATGAGAAGACTAGGGGGGGACAAGGAGCCAGATTAATGGAAACAGAACAACCAAAATGGAAATAACGAGAATGCTGATATATTGTGCAGGATGTAACCAATGTCACTGAACAATACGTACAGAAATTGTTAAATGAGAACCTAATTTCCTGTGTAAACTTTCACTAAAAACACAATAAAATATTTAATAAAAAAAAACAAACTGTTGATTGATGGATTAAACACACACGGTCCCTGCCCTCACGAGGCTTACCTTACTTAAAGCGGTTTTAGATGTTCAGAGCACCGTTTGAATAAGAGGCATGTGGTGGGCCTAATGTAAAGGTGACCCAAGTGTAAGTAGCTCTATGATAGGAGAGATTGAAACCTGATTTCCTTAGAGTTCATTCATCTCACGTATTACAACAAAATAGGAAGGTCATCTATTAGAAGGAAGTCTACAATAAATGAGTATTAAGAAAGATGGAGATATAAAAATTGAAGGTCTAAATCAATAATTAATTTCAGAAACAAGGACAAACCATGTTACCTCTTCTCCAGACGCTTTTCACCATCATAAACCATATCATTCTCAGGACAATCTAATCTTATGCAAGTTTCCTTAAACACACAGCATCTTTCTCAGTTCCTTACCCCAGAAAAATCTCCATACAACTGGGAGAAATAGAGATGAGCAGCAGGGCCAGATCTGCTACGGAGTTCCTTTATTTCTTCTTGGGATTCATGTAGCATTCCCAGACATTCTCTATTCCTATCTTGTAACTCATGCAGCTGAAAGAAAAGGATAATTAGTTTACTCTGCTATCATCTCAAAACAACAATGGGGAGAAAATCCCATTTATACAAGTACTAATTTTATCCAGAGGACTAACTAAATTTAAGAATATCACTTCAATACACAGGCTTTGAAACAAACTAAGCAAAGAGAGTACGTACCTAAACCACCAGAATTAGGAGTGTCTTGGACAAAATTATACATAAAAGTGATATCCTAAATATCTGAAATGTAGTGAAGACAACCAGAACTGCCCATTCAATGTTTAATTCTTTACATCCTAAACAACTGGTAGAGGAAGTATAATACTGTGATCAAGTTCCCCACCAAACCCACTGCTGTCAAGTTGATTCCGGCTCATAGTGACCCTACACGACAGAGGAGAACTGCCCCATTCGGTTTCCAAGGCTGTAAATCTTTACGGAAGCAGACTGCCACATCTTTCTCCCAGGAGCAGCTGGTGGGTTAGAATTGCCAACCTATCGGTTAGCAGCGGAGTGCTTAACCACTGTGCCACCAGGGCTCCTATGATCAAGTTAGGGTTAGCATAATGTTAATTTTTCAAAATATGACTCTGAAGTGCATAAATGACAAGATCAAGAGTCTAAAGTATTATGTATGATGTCAGAGCAATCAATTATCCTAAACGAGTAGTTGTTTTTCCCCGTCTCAGAGTCTTCTTTACAGATAAGATACACAAGTACGGAAAAGAGTATTTAATTTTCAGAGTATGCTTTAACTTCAAAAATCTTTAAGTGTACAGAGTTATGTTTAAGTAAATATGTATTATACTCAACAAAACACAGCGTTTCAGTATAAGGTTTAAAACCGTATTTTTTAAAGTGTGGTATGCAGACCAGCTAATCAGAATCACCAGAACTGGGATGCTTATTAAAAATGCAGATTCCAGGCCCTTCCTCTAGAACTACTGAATTAGAAACTCTTGGGGATAGTACCTGGGAATCTCCATTTAAAGCTCGTTCTCCCAAGTGATTCTTAGCATGCAAAAGAACCATTACCTTAAAAGTTATATATAACGTATCTTATAAGTTATATCTAACAGTGTTTTGCAAGTATGTCAGGAAAAATAGCAAAAAATCTCTTACTTTCTACCTACATAAGGAACACTATTCATTCTTCTCCCTCCCTTATTATGTAAGATAAAGGAAGCTGTCATTACCTCCACTGTTAGTTGTCTTTGAGCATCCTTGGAAGCTTGTAGGTGAAGTCTTAGTTCTTCCTTCTCAATCACATGCTAACAACATATTAAAAGAGACAAATGAAGCCTTCCCATAAAACATATAGTTTCTTTCTCTCTCTCTCTCTAAGATATCTTAAGAGTTTCTCTCCAGAGTAGAGTCTAGAGGTCTATAAAAAGCCTTTTAAAACCTGAATAAGAGCAATAAAATGGGCAGAAAACAAAATCCATCAAGGTGTTCAAAGGACAATGAGCAGGAATCAATAATTCATACTACAACTTTCTGAGGAAAATCGAATCCCATTTTACAGAGAGAAACAGTGACTTGAAAGTGGTTATCTGCAATATTTCATGACAAAAGGAAGATTAAAACAGGAATCAGTCTAAAGCACTTTAAAAGAGTAAGGACTGTGTTTATTTTGCTTAATGTATCTGGCACCTAGCAGAATGTGGTGTACTAATTAATAAACGTCTGCTGAATGAAAAACAAACCTACTTCTTTAAGTTTGTGCTGAAGATCTACAATCTGAGACAGGAGTGAGGAGATTTCTTCTTGGTATCGAATCAGTTCATCACTCTTCCCTGACAATTCCTCAGTCATTCTGGACATCTGAGCATTTGTTTCACCTTGGGAGCAAAATAAAATTTTAAGAATTTATATAAATGTAGGGCAGGTGTAACAAACTATAGTCCATGGGCCAAGTACTGTTTTAGCACAAACACTAGAGTATCACAAATAGATTTCAATATAAATTAAAAAAATAAACCCAGAGAAACCAATGGAGAAATAAGCTAATGTAAGGAACTGAATAGGAAGCAAAGAAGCTAAAAAGAGAGATGACTTGTAAAAGGCAAGTATGCTAAAGGTAAGGCAGGAAATTTGCTCCAATTCTTTTCTTTGCAAAGGACAAGAAAGCTGAAAGGAGGGGTAGGTGAATTATAAATCTTTGCAAGTGCCAAGAGGCAATCTCATTTATGTCTTTGAGAACTCTTCAGGGCCATAAATAAAATGCAATAAGCAATGAAAATTAAGTTTAACAAATATACCAAAGGAACATTTCCAGAACGGACAGTCGTAATCTGTAACAGAATGTGATAAAGCTACTGAAATGCCTCTGTAGAACAAGGACTTTCTGAGATACCTGACAAACTCAGTAGGGCCTCTAAAGCAATCCACACAACCTAGTATTTTTGCCTGCATGTGAAACAGAATCTTTAAAATGCCGTTGGGGAAATAAACTTTTATTTCATATAAAAACTTTGACATTTAATTTCAAGCAGAAAAACTACTTCTCAGTGCCATATAGGACTATTTTTAAATTAACAGAAAGCCATCAGCATTTCAAAGGGTGGCAGTAAGGAGGCAGGAGGCCTGACCTGAGCTCTTGGACAAGTCATCTCTTCTCTGTTTATTGAAGTGTGAAGGGTGGGTAATGGCAGTGCTGGTGGAGGAGCAGATCTGTTTAGGTTCCTTCTGGTTCTCTAATATTGTTATTCTAAGGTTATCACATTATGAGGCCCACATCCCAAATAAATTGATGTGATGCCATCATATCTTCTCTTTCAATACGGAAGTTTATATATTTATAAAGAAATTAAATCTTCTTCAGTAAGTAGTAGTTAGAAATTATTCAGGTTAACATTACTTCAAGCCAAAACATATAGATACACAGCTGGCACTTAATAACACCCAGTGAATGTTAGGTTTTATGTCATTATTTAAGCCCTCGCTCTGTCCACTTACCAATTTTTGACTTTGGCAAATCATGTCCTCTATAGGTCTATTTCCTCATCAACAAAATGAGAGCTTTGTTTCACTCTAACATACTACAATTTTGTTTATAGAAATGCAGGTCTTTATTTAATGATGATGGCAATCTGAAACAAAGAATCTTCTTAAAAATTACATATAGTATTTTATAGAGGATCGTGGGCTCCCATGTGATATTCCAAGATTTTCAGTAACTTTTTTGTTTTGAATTTTAAATTGTTTCTTGAGATGCTTCTACTGAAACCATGGATCTAATTTCTGAATTGGAGATATCCTACCAAACAACCACCCAAAGGCTGCAAAACAAAGTATATTAATACTTACGAAGTTCTTTAACACAGTCATTGACAAGCTGTTGTTCCTTTTCCTCATAGGTAATAGTTTCTGTCTTTATGTGACAAGCCTTCAAGAAAAGAATCATTGGTAATATCTTGCAATGATTTCATAGGAATAACTACAAAAACCTTTAATTTTCATATGAAGATTAAAGTTTATCACTTACTAAGGAAAAAATCCAAAAAACCCACACAGCTTTATCTACCATAAAATAAAGGTATGGAAAAGGATGTAATAAGCATCTCTCCTTCACTCCTCTCAGGGCCTTTGCATATACCTAATCATCCCTACCCCCACCTCCACTGTCCCATACATCTCTGCTTGGCTAATCCCTACCCTCAGCTAAAATGTCACTTGCTTAAGAAAGTCTTCCCTGATCTCCTCGATTATACAATCTCACAGAACCCTATAATTTTCCACCGTAGTTCTTATCACAGTTGTAATTACTTATTGCATAAGCTCTAAAACATACATTCTGTACAGTCCCTTTCTCTGTTTCTTCCCTCAACCTGCTATTGTCTAGCCACTTTTCAGTGGAATCTCAGTAACAATGGAAGACAAATACATGGACCTTGTCTACCACCCCCTAATTGGAACCTCAATGGCAAATCCTTAACATGTTTCAATTATGCCATAGTTTGCCTCAATACCACCTGGACCTAAACCTTATATATCCTTTAAAGTAAAGGAAAACTGGAATTAGATAAATGTACCTTAGATCGAAGAGCCATATTCTCTTCTTCCAGCTCTTTGAGTTTTTCTTGCAGCATGTCCAACTGCAGCAGGCCTTGAGACAAGCTAAACGACTCATTGAACCGAAGAGGTGTAGAACAGCTGGAATCAGTTTCACTCTCTTCAGAAGCAATGGAGACAATTCGAAGTAACTCATCTTTCTTAGATAGCTCATGCTGCAGCTGATTAACCTGTACATAAAAGAGTTTGATTTACAAGGTGCTCTTTATTTTTCATTATTTACATGTAACACAGCTTCTAAATCATGAAGCAACTGCTTCTCACCTTAAAACAAAATCAGTTGCTAGATTTTGCTGACTGAAGTAACAAATGCTAAAAAGACAATAACAAACTTCAGTTATTTCCTCAGCTACAATTTTAGAACATTAATTCAACAATACAGCTTTTTTAATACTAAGTGAGTAGAGAAGCCAATTGTCGTAGTCTACATAATAGGAATATAAAAATTTCACATAATAACACATTTTCAGTTAAAAAAAGAAAACAAAACTGAAGAGCCTTCATAATATCAGAATAGACCCCTACTGTAAATTTTCTTCCCAATGCTTATACTCTTACGCTGTGTATAACTGCATATCTTCTTAGGAGTACTGACTTTAGTTCTAGTGAATAAATATTTTCAGTGTAAAGACTGAAATGTCATTAACCATGCATTTATAAAATATAACTGAAACCAAGTAAGAATAAAAAGTTACATAACATTTGAAGTTTAACCATTCATGTTATTACCAAATAACCTCTCACTACAAATATGTATTGCTATGAAATAAATATATTTTTAAAATTTTCTTTTTTTCCTTTTGATTTTGTTTTTGAATAAAGATACCTACAGCCATTATTTGTGGATCTACTTTTTAAATAAATTTAAGATAAGATCACACACAAAGTTTACAAAAAGGGGTGAGGATAAAGCATTAGAATCTAAGCCAGGTGTCGCAAGTACTGTAGATACCAAATGAGGCTTTTATATTCACTAAGGCCGAGTCACATGAGCACTCCTCTGCACAGGAACATTTAATTTCTCTACTGGTTATTGCAACGGTTGCCAACAAAGTCAGTGTGTAGTGGTATTATTTGCCTGATGTTATCACTTCAGAGATACCTAGAAGAGTAAGTTTCTCTGTTGCCCAACACCTAATTACTGCATGCTCCAAATACTTGATCAAAGGCTTACTTGATCAAAGGCTTGTCCCAGTTGCTCCTCCAGGGCTTCATTCTGCTCAGACAAGACATGGTTTCGCTTTAAGAGAGCTTGTCCAATTCTAGCTGCTAGCTCCAGATCACGATCCCTCTGTTAAAATACCAAATACATGTTTTATTTGAGTACAAACAACATTAAATTGTAGTTTAGAAATTCTGTAGTCAACTTTGCTAATCTCAAAAGCAATATCCTAGGAAGCATCAAGAGTCATTCAGGTGATGTTTAATAAACATTGGCCAAACAGTTGACCACTATAGTTACAAATGTAAAAGGACTTCTCTTCTCTTGATATAGAGTGAGATTTATTGATCTTCCTAGCAATCAGGCCACAGCAACCCAATCTTCAAGCTTTAAACTCAAGATTTTGAAGAGCTGGAAAATCAACAAAAACATAGTTCTTACAAATGAGGACAGGGCCTGGAATACAGTAAACCCCAATAAAAACTTGTTGAACGCATTTGTCTATTAAGTATTGTAATGATAAAGAATCAGGTATTTAAGTAAATGATATGCGGATCAGGTAGGTATGCTGAAAACAGTTCCATTTAAGGCAAAGATTACATGTATTCAGAGCCACAGGCCTGGGGGAAAGTTCAGCAAGAGGTCTATTGTCAACTGGTGCAAGATGATGATGTGAATGAAATAAAATAGAGAATAAGAGACTTTAAGTTTTGAGGCAACAGGGTTCTGCCTTGAGTAGAAATGAACAGAGTCTACAGAAGTTGGTGGTAATGATGCAGGCAAGCCAAGAAACTGGCAAGAGTTACTCTTTCTGGGTAGATGATGATACTTAAAAAGGGTATAAGGAATCCCATCTACATAATAGTGGTGAGGATTGTATTCTGTAGGATGGAAAACTGTCAATATACATTCAACTGCCTTATATATGAGTTCTGCTTACATTAATCATTATAAATAAAATTATGCTTCTATCCTTTCTTTCCATAGCTCTAGAAAACAGGTTGATGGATTATCTTCAAATTTTCAAGGCCCACTTGAGAACTACCTCATTTTAAACATAAGCTAAGTGGCACGCAGAGAAATCATTCTGAGAGCTGAAGGGAGAGGGGAAAAGGGAACACCAAGAGAAAAGCAGTTTTCCATCAGAACAACCAAAATTAAGGTACAAGGAGAGACTTCTGTGACTGCCAGTTGGAAGAGATACACTAGACATATTAAAAATGCCATGGACAAAGTGAGTTCAAATAATAGTTCCAAACAGCAAAGGAAAAGGAACAGATGCTCCCAACCGAGTTGCTTCTCGAAAAGGCAACTCTGCTCCAGGGTGAGGAACAGCAGGTTTTTTTTTTTTGTTTGTTTAAGATTAATGCTTGTCTAGGAACTAGGAGGCCAGGTAGTACCATAAACAAAAACAAACCATCTACAACCGGACAATAATAAACTTCAGGAACCATTCTACTTTGAAATGCCAGTTGGTATGCCAGTTGTTCCAGTTGCAACAATCATATATATAATAACCCTGAGCACAGACATCATCGTTTTTCTTTGGTGTGCAAATTTAACAGGTTCCAAATGATTAAGTTTTAGCCATTTGTACTGGAGAAAGAAAATATATAATCCTACCTCAGCCAGAAGATGTGTAACCATGTCGATGTCATTGTAAGTTTTGGTCATCTGCTCCACCCTGTCTGTGCCTAGAACTAAGATAATCAAAAAGAATTTTATACAGGCTTTAGAGATAAATAACAAAGTTTTAAATATTCAAAAGAATTGAAAGACAAAGAATACTGAACTTTTACAAAAAGTCAGTCAGGGAAATAAAAATATATGTAAAAAAGAAAAGGAAACAAATATTTTCATGTATTAGATATTAAGAAAATAGAACAATTATTATGAACAAAATGCACATCATACAATGAATTTAAAAAGTACCAGATTCCATATTTATAATATAGAGGTGATAACACTCATCTAACAAGGTTACTATGAGACAGATAAGGTTAACTGTGCTGGCAGAATAAAACAGCTGTTAAAAGATTACCACCTAGAAGCTGGGTAAACAGGAACCACATCCTGTCAACATAAAATAAGGTTAGAGGAACCTGTGAATTACTACTTTCTCCTCAGTGTTTTTTCTAGTCCCTTCCCCCTTCTTACAGGCTCCGCACGTGCAGAAGAACAAAGTGTGACCACTGTTTGATCTCCCTTGGCCCACTAAAGGGGGCAAAGTAGTACAGAAGATCAGTGTACCTGCACCATATCCCATAATAAGTGATGCCAAGGGCTGCCGAGAGGACTCCATCTTGAATATCAGCGAGTTCCATCCTGGATTCCAGATGCATGCACAACCTAATTAGTATGCACTGCCATTTCGAGAAGTGCCCGTCCCTTCAAAGAAAGCCACTGAATATTCATTGCTCTACTGTCTCCACCAAACCCATATAAGCCCTAACCTTGCTTCCCGCTTTGAGTTAGTCTCTTGGAGAGGCATGAGCCATCACTGACTCCTTTTACCTGTCACAAGTAAAAAACCTGTTAGAGCTGAACCCCAAAATTGTCTCCTCTGTGTATTCTTTTAAGAGAAAGACAAGGACCCATTGAGTCCACAGGGCCTCTATGCCCTCAGCAGTAACAACTAGAAGGATCAAACGGAATCTACTGAACATTAAAGTATTCAGTAAACATCTAATTATTACACAACTGTTTACAGTAAATACTCCTTAAACAGGACTATGTATGAAATAGTCCTGATTTTAAACTCTCTGTAAATAATTCAGATTTGGCAATGGATACTATGATTTAAGTCACTTGTAGTTATTTACTTAGTTCCTTAGTCCTGCATTAACACTTCAGGTTGCCCAAAAGACTAGGCATGTGGAGACACAATTACATGTTTTACTTCTGATTATCTGAGTTTTTAATTTTTCTTCCTTCGCTAGTCATCTGCTTATCTCACTGCTTTTTAGCATCATTGCCTCAAGTAAGTCTGGGAATTACTTATGGTTTAAGTATCAACAATAGCCTTAGTCCTAGTAAAAAGCTAGTTAATCCTCATTATTCTGGAGTTCTATATTTGCAATTTTGCCTACTTGATAAAGTTTATTTTTAAGCCTAAAATCAATACTTCAGTGCTTTTCTGGGCATTCACGTATGCTCAGGCGCAGAACGGCAAAAAATTTGAGTTATCCGACCCAAATCAAGTTGAACAAGGCTTGTTTGGTAATCATTAATTCAGTATTTGAGGGGCCTTTACAGAACATAACTACCACAAATAACTTACTTTGTTATAAAACAAAGTGCTGGGTTGATGGTATTAGGAGATAGCTAAAAAAGTTTTAAAATGAAAATAAGAAAACTAAAATATAAACATTTATCTAGAAAGAAACGTTACTCCAAAAGACTTATTTTTACAAGTAGAGAAACTGGCTCCATAATTTAACCACGGGTATAAGAAAGTAGGCTTTTAGGTCTAAGTAACTGTCACAATTTAACTTGATAGCATAGTAGCAATGAAGGATAAAAATATTAAGGCAGATACAGTGAATGGTCTTTTCTACTGGTCTCAATAATAAAATGAGGTAAAAATCAAATCCAAATATCTATGACTTTAAACTAATTACAGAAAACCAGCCAACAGTTCAAGAAACCAAATGTAATCCAGGGCAAGTGGTGGTTATCAACTCCACAGATTATGATTTAATTAGTCTGGAAGAGTCACAGGGCATTGGTAGTTTGTACAAGATCCTCAAGTGTTCTGATGTGGAGTTAGGGATGAAAAACACTCATCCAGTGTCAACAGCCAAACCAAGAACCATGAATCCTAGAGATCCAGCTAAAAACAGAGTTCTTGTACAGCTAATTAAAAAAAAACACATTACATGGTTGATACTACATGATTGTCCAGAGTTGAAGATGAAGTGGCATATTTAACTTGAAGTTAATATCTAAAACCAACATGTTAAGGATGTATAATAAACAGAGCTTCAAACACAAGTCACACATAATAAAAGAGGAGGGAATGAAGGATGTACTAATACAATAAAGAAATGTTTAAACATGTTTTAGTGAGGAGAAATTAAAATATATTTCCTAAAAATGCTTACCATCTATCAGTCTGATAATTTAAAGCTGAACCTTAAGAAGTCATCTACTTAATGATCTCATTTTCTTGTATGAGGAATCTTGACCAAGGGAAATTATGTGGCATGTCCAAGACCACATAGCAAGTGGTTATTAGTGGCAAAACCAGGATTATAATACGGAGGTGATAACAACAGTCATCTCTGTTCGAAAAAATTTAGGTCTGCTCATTCCCAGTAAAGAGGTCTTTCCACCATGTTGCTGTTTCTACCAAAAACCAAACCAAACCTGCTGCTGTCAAGTTGATTTCAACTCACAGCAACCCTATAGGACAGATCAGAATTGCCCCATAGGGTTTCCAAGGAGCGGCTGGTGGACTCGAACTGCCAACCTTTTGGTTAGCAGTCGAGTTCTTACCCACTGCACCACCAGGGCTCTGCTGTTTCTACAACAGCCCCATTAATATCAAAAGGCCTTTAATTGATGAAAAAATCCATCTGTAAACACAGCATAGATTCCAATTTTATTTTTTTAAAGTGAATATATATTTATACACAAACAATGCTAGAAGGATATACATTAAAACACTGATAATGGTTACCTCTGGTGGTTCAGTGGTTAAGAGCTTGGCTGTTAACCAAAAGGTCGGCAGTTTGAATCCACCAGCTGCTCCTTGGAAACTCTATGGGGCAGTTCTACTCTGTCTTATTGGGTCGCTATGAGTCAGAATCAACTTGATGGCAATGAGTTTGGTTTGGTTTCTCAGTAGGGGTTATGGCTGATCTGTTGTCTTCTTTTCAGTTTTTACTAATTTTTTAAGGAAAAACAAAGGCTATTTTGTAAACAGAAATAGCAACTCTCATTAAAGTTTTCAAAAACCAAAAATGAATTTCAAAATGCTTAAATATTTATTCTGGCAAAGAAGTTAGGTAATGTAACCAGGATTCTCCAATTCTTACTTTCTATATGAAACAGCCTATATATTATCAAGCCCCAGACATACAATTGCACAAAGAGATGTCAGTCACAAAGTAGATAGGTACACACTGGATTCCTTTCTGCAGCCTAATCAGTTCTGGCTTCTCTTCCTTAAACAATCCTCCGATAAAGACATGCTGCTTGGGAAGATTCCAAAATTACTCAGGGCAAAACTGTTCTCTTGGTATTGAGGCATGTGAAATGTCTAAAAAGCCATAGACCAATTCTTCACTGTAACCAAGCATGTAGAGATAGCCATGCAAGCTGACTTTATTTTAATTTTTACAGAATAATTTTGCAATTCAGTTACCTAAGGTTGTTAATTACATTCAACATCTTTGGTATAGTATTTGGAGAACCTAATGTTCCTGAAGAAAATCTAAGGGGATGCGTAATATACATATACACTTCATTAATCCTTACTTTATATTCTAACCTGCATAATTTCACATCAACCACCCCAATCTCACACAATTTTCAGTATAGGAAGCTCCAATGTTAATCCAGTTTGATATCTCTGTCATTTATATGAGATGGTGCTCAATAGTTATCCGATAAATTCCTTTTCAAGATCTAGTTTTCTACCACAATTACGGAATTTTAAGACTTCTAAACTTTCATCTCTCCAGTCCCATCCCCCACCAAAAAACCCCCAAAACATAAACAGAACAAAACACAACTCCCTACCTAACCCCAAAGAAATGACTGTAGCACTTGCTGGTATAATACAGAGAACATTTCTATGATACAAAAAACTGCCTTCAAAAAAATGAAAAAGAACAAACAGGAGACTGATGGATGATACCATGCAGGGTGGGCAGCTTTTCTCAACTGGATTCCATGAGAGAATTAAGCCCTACAGATAATGATTTGAGTGGTAATTTTTTCAGTTCTCCCAAGGACAGCATAAAGCTAGTACATGAAGCATAGGTGATAAAGCAACTCATTATACAAACTGATGCCTTAGGGCATATGACTTAACTTTTTTTTGTGGAACTGCTTGAGAAGGGTGGACCTAGAGGACTTATCTGTTAACCTCTAGGACCTGGTTTATGGTTAAAAAAAAAAAGTCAAACAGTTGCCATTGAGTCGATTCCAACTCACGGTGACCCTATAGAACAGAGTAGAACTATCCCATAGGGTTTCCAATGCTATAATCTTTACGGAAGCAAACTGCCACATCTTTCTCCCATGGATTGGCTGGAGGGTTTGAACCATCAACCTTTCAGTTATCAGCCAAGCACTTAACTACTGTGCCATCAGGGCTGCTTTGTTAATGCTTCCTAAATATTATCAGTCACATTTCCTTTCTTGCCAATAAAAGTTGATGCTTTTTGAGGGTAGAGCTTAAAAAAAAGATATCTTCCAACCAGAAGTAATGATTTGTTTATATGAAGTCCTGAAAACTCAAGTAGTTTGGAATTTGCTTACTTTTTATTTTCCAATCTCTTTATTTAAAATTCATCCTAAAAGTAACTCCATTAAATCATGATCTAAGACACCTTTCTAGCTACAATTCTACCCCGCAGCGGCCTATGGGACACGTTGTTGTTGTTAGGTGCCACTGAGTCAGTTCTGACTCATAGTGACCCAGAGAACAAAATACTGCCTGGTCCTGTAACATGCTCACAATCGTTGTTATGCTTGAGCCCATTGTTGCGGCCACTGTGTTAATCCATCTCGTTGAGGATCTTCCTCTTTTGATGACCCTCTACTTTACCAAGCATGATGTCCTTCTCCAGGGACTGATCCCTCCTGATAACATGTCCAAAGTATGTAAGACGCGGTCTCATCATCCTTGCTTCTAAGGAGCATTCTGGTTATACTTCTTCCAAGACAGATTTGTTCATTCTTTTGGCAGTCCATGGTATATTCAATATTCTTCACCAACACCACAATTCAAACGTGTCAATTCTTCGTGTCAATTCTTCTTCGGTCTTCCTTATTCATTGTTCAGCTTTCGCATGCATATGATGTGACTGAAAATACCATGGTTTGGGTCAGGCGCATCTTACTCTTCAAGGTGATATTGTTGCTTTTCAATACTTTTAAAGAGATCTTTTGCAGCAGATGTGCCCAATGCAATAGCGTCTTTTGATTTCTTGACTGCTGTTTCCATGGGTGTTGATGGGACACAGCACAAGTAAACTAAGGGGCACTTTTTGTCACCTTATCAAAATAAAAGCTGAATTTATACAACAAAATTTCAGTATGAAATTTTTCTCTCATGAATTTAAAAACTCATGGAACGAAGGGAAATTAGTTTTTTTAGAAACAAAAATAGTATTCCTTCTAAAACACATTTTCCAGAAAATCTCAAGCAAGCAATCTATCAAATTAGAAAGTTAAGAAAACCTTAAGGGCCTTAGTTTAATATTCAGCTAATTAAGAGAAATATTATGGATAGAAACACAATTTTATTTGGACTTCCTGATATTGCAAATCAAGTTTTAACTATGTTTACAATTTTCTCCTCAGCAGTAAGTAACCTGGTTCTAGTAAACTACTATTAAAAGCAAGTTAATAACTACTATGAAAATAAGTATTTCACAATAACCATTCTCTATAATGTGGAATTAAAAACACTGAAGGACTCATTGGGAAAATGTTTAGTACCTGATGCAATCGCATATCTAATTCAACATTCAAATAAATTCATAAACATATCATTGTTGAACTGACAGACTTTTATTATACAGTCTAACAGCTACTATGCATACAACATTTTTACAGTGAATGAATAAAAAAGTAAGCTCAGCTTTAACTGGATTTTTTTTTTTGGAATGAGAGATTAAATGCAAGAAGGTCTTTATCATAAAGTTTTAAAACTATTCTATTTAATTTTGTCATTTCTAAGAGGTTTGTGAAAACAGACCTACTTTCAGGACAAATCTGGCTCAACTTCTCACTGAAATTCAAGTCTCTATGGATCCTTAAGCCTTGATAGCCTACTGGTTAAGAACTTGTCTGCTAACCGAAAGGTTGGCAGTTCAAATCCACCAGCCGCTCCTCGGAAACCCTATGGGGCAGTTCTACTTTGTCTTACACGGTCAGTATGAGTTGGAATCAACTTGACAGGAATCAACTTGACAGCAACGTGTTTGGTTTTTTTGGTTTATGGATCCTTAAGTAATTAATGGATCCTAAATTAAATACTATGTAAACCAAAACCCCCTGCCAACAAGTTGATTCTGATTCATAGCGACACTATAGGACAAAGCAGAACTGCCCCATAGGGTTTCCAAGGCTGTAAATCTTTATGGAAGCAGACTGCCACATCTTTTCTTCTGTGGAGCAGCTGGTGGGTTCAAACTACCAATCTTTTGGTTAGCAGCCAATCACTTAACCACACTGCCACCAGGGCTCCAAATCCTATATGGTGTGTACTCCTTTTTCCCTGGCATTATTAAAACTACTTATGTATGTAAGCCACACTCTTCTTCATGTAGTCTAGCTTCTTGGATTATCTGCTCAGCACACAGATCAAGTAAGTACAGTGAAAGGATACAACCCTGACACACACCTTTCCTGACTTAAAACCACACAGTATCCTCTTGTTCAAAAAAGCTGATGGGTTAGGATATCAAACTATTGGGGTAATAAATGTTGAGCGTTATAAAGGAATATTAACATTTTAAATAATTTCATTACTTTTTTTTTTAAGCTCTTCTTTCTACTCAATCTGTGGAAAGCATCAAGTAAAAGATGGGAGAAATGGAAACATCTGAGTATGTTTGCAACTGGACACTCAGAATCATAAGAACGACAAACTTTGTGCATTCAGATATAACACAATTAAAATCATTTCTTCATATTGTTAAATCAGTTCGAGTTAAAGTAGGTGCATGCTGAAAAAGGTTACTAAATGTATTTTAAAAAGTCAGTACCAAGATACCCACAATCTTTATTTCAATGGACAAACTCTAAAACCGTCAAAAGTACTCACTCATGTAACGGAAAGTCTCCTCAGCAAGGACTGGAGAGAGGGCATCAGATGCATGTTGGTGCTGGTGTGGGGACTGAGTCCAGTCCTGGTTTTCATACAGAAAGAGAGAGTCCACTCTTAGCTTATACTGGGGTAGCTGTTCTTCTAGCAGACTCACCAGCTCAACTTCAGGGAGATCCTCATTGGAACAGACATCTAAAGAGGAGATTCCATGTAAAAGAATTTACTAGGCTACAGAGTAAATCTATGAAATTAGTTTTGGAGAAAAAAAAAAAAAGACAACAAAGAAATATTAGGTAAGATCATTTCTCTACTAATATTTACTAATATACCTTAGTACTATAGTTGATCTTTCTGTAATATGAAGGCTTCTAAAGTAAAAAACCCCACAAATTTTAATTACATCTTATCTAAAAATATGTTGCTTAGTGAATGTAACTATGCTTTTAAAGTTTAAAATGAATTTGGACAAATTTCTTATTTCCTTCTTATGAATCTGTTTATTGCTGTTTAAAAGAAGTTTGATTTCAAATAGCTTATATGATTGGAAAAACAAAAAAGAGCAAAAACAACCAGCAGAAAACAGCCAAGTCAAAAGGGATAAAATCATGTGTTTTATTCATAATAGAATTTAAATTCAGTGGGAGGATTCTTCAAAAATTGGAAAAATTACATTTTGGCATATTCCCACAACAGCTAAATATTTAAAAAATAATTTTTAAAATAGCATTAACATTTACTAAGTGCTGGCACTGGAATAAGTACGTTATCATTTTTAAAGATGAGGTACATTTAAAACCCTAAATATGTGAGAAGAAAATCAGAAAAAGAGTTTTCTCCTAAAAATCTTCCCTAGCCTTCACAGGATATAAATTCATGTATGTGATATAGTGATAAAGAACATTGACTTTTAAGTCATACAGTCCTGGGTTTGAGTCCTGGCTCTGCAAATACCACACTGAGACAAGAAAGTTACTTAACCTCTAGGCCTCAGTTTCCTTATCCATAAAACGGACACGGCGACAGTCTCTATACCTACCCTCATGGCTTCTGTAGAGATTGAGTGAGATAAATGCGTGAAAAGATACTTAGCACAACGCCTGCACACAGTGGAGGCACTCTCTAAATGTTTGCTATCATTATTACTGTTTTACTACTGAGTTTTTAGATCTAGAGATCAAATCAAGTCTAAGGTCCCTATAGCATGTAAATAGTTGCAGAATATTAAAGGTGGAAGGTACTTTAGAAACCATTTAATCCAGCCTCTTGGATAAGGAAACTGAGACTGGAGAACTGAGTGACTTGCTGAAGAGCACTAGACTTGTGTCTTAATTTCCTATCCAGCACACTGCACACTCAATCACAGGGCCATCTCCTGGTTAGTATCTGCCCATTTGCTTATAGGACAAAGGTTGACCATTTGTCCTACAAGGTAAGATTCTACGTGTCATGTCTCTAACATACCACATTAGTCCTATAGACCAACTAATTCCCCCAGGTGCGTAGTCCACTTGCTTTCCTATTTTTCATTCTTAATATTGGAAAGAGTCTGGAGTTTAGCATGGGCTTCTAAACCTGACTCCTCCACTCATTAGCTATGGTACATGAGACACATGACTTTTCCTTTCTGAGGCTTAATTTTCTTCACTTGTAAAATAAAGAGAAAACCACCTACCTCATACAGTCATAGTGAGAAATAAATAAAATATTAAGCCGCCTTGTACCCTTGTCTCTCTCAAGACAAATATGGGCTTTTCTGACTTTATGTGTTTGTTCCTGGCTTCCTGTTCCCAATACTGCCCATCATTTAACACCTCTCAAATTTAGCAGTTTACAAAAGGAGAGTTACCCCTTTCAACATACTTAAAATACTAGGGCTTAAAATAGGAAAAATACAGGATGTCATATCAACTCTCTCACTTTTTTAAGAGATATCATATTTCCTTTGTGGGTGGTATAACAAAACATGTTCTACCTCTGGGAAATAACAAATTACATCTGGGAAAGCACATTTTAAAAGAGTAAATTTCTACTATTTGTACCTTAAGTTATCAATGACAATTTAATAAGTCAAATACAAGGAGGCTGGCAATATCAGATATTCCTACTTACCCAGAAGGACAAGCAGTGGCTTCAGACCCACAAAGAGACAGCAATAAGGTACATTTAAAACCTTAAATATAGTTCTAAAGGAGCTCTCAATCTTTAGACGATCTCTTAGATAAGAGCCCTGAAAATATAACCAAATTTTATGGCTACAAATTCCACGTGATTATCTAAAATCTTCCTGCTACAAATATATCACATAGATTGCCACTGTAATATTTGCAGAAAAAGAAGTTGACTATAAATACATGCAGAGCGAAACACAGACTATTAGGCATTCAAAGAGTGTAATGGAAATGAAGAACAAAAGCAATATTCCTTAAAAGAGCTATTATTCCCTAGAAGTTTTCTTTTAATAAGTATTATTGAAATTCTGTGAAAATTCAAGGTTGCCAATTCCCTACTTCCAAAAAGTAAATTTAAAAATGAGGGTATAGTTAAGGTTTAGTAGATTGAACTAAATATCCTCCAGACAAGCTCCTTCTATTTGCTTCCATAGTTCTGAGAATGTACTATTTATCACTATCCTGATCATCCAAGCTTGACCACCCCCTGCCATTTTATTCTCCAAATGTCTCTTCCATATGCCTACTTCTTTCTAGTCACATTGCCTCATATAGGTTCAGTACCTCCTCTTCTTTCTCTTGACGACAACAAAATCCAAACACTCAACAGTGTAACATTCATAATGCTCAGTATCTGATAAAAAAAAGTACCAAACATGCAAAGAAGCAGCAAATTATAATTCATAATCAGGAGACAGCCAGGAGATTATGAATGGTTATGACTGACCTTGTAATAACAGAGCTGACAGAATTAATATGCAACTATTTTAAAACAGATATTATTACTATGCTCAAGGATTTAAAGAAAAACATGAACTTAACAAAAAGACAAGTAGAAGATGTATCTATAAAGCTCAAATGACAATAACAGAACTGAAAACTACAATATCTAATATGAAAAATTCACTGGGAAACATTAACATATTAGACATCTTTCAGAAGAAAAGAACAGTAAACTTGAAGACAAAGCAATGGAAACTACTCAAAATGAAGAATAGAGAAAAAAGACTAAAACAAAAATGAATAGAACTTCAGTGAATTGTGTTACAACATTAAGCAGTCTAATATACATGTAATTGGAGTCCCATAAGAAGAGGAGAGAGAAGGGAGCAGAAAAAAATATCTAAGAAATAATGGCCAAAAATCTTACAAATTTAATTAAAATTATAAATTCATAGTTCAAAGAAGCTCAATGACACCAAGCAGGATAAACACAGAGAAAACCACACCAAGGCACATCACAGTCAGATTGCTAAAAGCCAGTGATAAAAAGAAAAATCTTAAAAGCAGAGAGGAAAAAAAAGAAGGCACATTACATATGAGGGAACAAAGACAAAAAAGACTCAGACTATTCCTCAGAAACAATTCAAGGTAAAAGACAATGGAACAACATCATTTATGTGCGTCAAAGAAAAAAAGTAAACCTAGAATTGTGTACCATTCAAAAGAGATGAAAAAAGACTTTTTCAGAAAATTAAAAACTGGGACTATCCATTGCTAGCCCATCTATTACATTACAAAAAATGTTAAATAAAATTCTCCAGGTAAAAAGAAAATGACAACAGATGGAAACTTTGGTCTATAAGAAGAAATAAAATGTGACAGAAATGGTAAATCTATGGGTAAATATAAAGCTTTCATTTTCATATTTTAATTTAATTGACTGTTTAAAGAAAAATAATAATAATAATGCATTATGTGTATAGCTAAACAGACATAAAAGGTATCACAGCAATAATGCATAGGATAATAGAGGAAAATGGAAGAATACTGTTGTAAGGGTGCCACTTTATGAAATAGTATAATGTTATTTGAAGGTAGGCTGTGAGAAGTTAAAGACGCATACTGCAAACCAGAGCAACAGCTAAGACAAAGAGAAGGTGTAACTATTAAGTCAATAGAGGAGTTAAAGCAGAATTTGAAAAAAATAATCAATTCAAAAAAAGAAGGAAAAAAGAAAGAACAACTGGAACTAACAAAAAACTAGGAACACAGTAGACTCAACCAAACAGATAATTACATTAAATGTAAATGATCTAAACACTCCAATTAGAAAGTAGAAATTGTCAGACTGGATAAAAAAATAAGATGCAACTAAAAGCTATATTTAGCAAATGCCCTTTAAATATAAAGATTCAGATAAGTTAAAATGATGAAAAATGCTATAATACCAATTCCACACAAACTTTTTCCAAAAATAGAAGGGAGAATATTTTACAACTCATTTTATCAAGCCAGAATTACCCCAATACCAAAATCAAACAAAGATGTTATAAGAAAAGTACAAATCAATAGTCTTCATGAATGTAGACACACACTAACAAATATGCCCCCTAACAAAACATTAACAAATCAAATCCACAATATATGAAAAGAATAATACATTATGACAAAGCAGAGTTTTTCTCAGGAATGCAAGGTTGCATTAAAAAAATAAACAACAGAATTCACCACACTAACAGACTGAACAAGAAAAATCATATGACCATCTTAACAAATACAGAATAAGCATTTGACAAAATTCAACACTGATTCATGATAAAAAGCCTTTCATCCAACTAAGAAGAAAAAGAAACTCAGTTTGATAAAGGGCATTCTCAAGAAACACAGCTAACATAATACTTAAGATTGGGAATATGGCAAGGATGTTCGCTATCACCACTTTTATTCAACAATGTACTGAGATCCTGGCCAGGTCAATAAGGCAAGAGAAAGAAATAAAAGACACCCAGATTGGAAAGGAATATACAAAATTATCTTCATCTGCAGACAACATTAGGTTCTATGAGAAAATTCTAAGGAATTTACAAGAATGTTACTAAAACAAGTTAAACAATCACGTACATGATAAGTGATTTCAATGAAAGTAACATGGTAATTCAACATGGGGAAAGATAGTGTCGTCAACAAATGGTGCAGAATCAACTAAATATTCAGGACCTAACTTTATCCCATACTCAAAATTAAGTATAAAATGGATCACTGACCTAGATATAAAAGCAAAAATTATAAAACTTTTAAAAAGAAAACAGAAGAGAAAATCTTCATTGATTGTGAAGTTTGCAAAGATTTCTTAAAAAGAACACAAAAAAAACACGAACTATAAAAGCAAAAATTGATAAAACTAGATTCTCTATAAAATTTAAAACTGGTCTTCAAAACACATCATTAAGAACATGAAAAGGCAAGCCAAGGTCTGGGAGAAAACATTCACAATCCATTTATCTGACAAAGGTCTTATGTTTAGAATACATAAAGAACCCTTAAAGTAGTAAGATGATAAATACCCGAATCAAAAAATGGGTAAAAGATTTAAATAGACAACTAAAATATGATATAGGAATGGAAAACAAGCACATGAAAAAGATGCTCAACATCATCAGGGAAATTTATTACTTTAAGTATTGTCTTTGGTTGCTTTTCTGCGGCAACAGCAAAATTGAGTAGCTGCAATTCAACAATAAAAAGGAATGAACTACTGATATATGTCACAATGTGGCTAAATCTCAAGCATTTTGCTTTGCAAAAGACATAGATTCAATTTATATGAAATTCTATGGTGACAGAAAGCAGATCCACAGTCGGAGTCAGAGATGGGGGCAAAAATATTCTATATCTTGATTGTAACGATGGTTACATGAGTGTATATATTTCTCAAACCTCAAACTGTACACTTAAAGTAGGTGTATTTTATTATATCTTAATAAAGATACCTCAATAAAGCATATTTAAAAATGAAAAAAACAAAACAAAAACCCTATGGAGTTAGACAGGGTTCAGGATTCAGAATTTTTAAAAAAGTAGTACTGTGCATGTATTGTATGTTATATTAGTGCTGTTTTTTGTAGCAGTACTCCATATTTAAATACATTAATACCTCTTCAGCAAACATATGACTATTCAAACTAAGTGGGATAAGTTTAGAAATAGCCCCACAGGTCAGGTTTTGTGAATGAATGAGTTTGAATGTTCAGAGTTTTTTTTTTTTTTTTTTTAGTATTGCAGATAAGAGGTTATGGGCCTGTACCTGTGTTTGTAAGGAGCCCTGGTGGTGTAATGGTTAAGTGCTTGGCTGCTAACTGAAAGGTCGGCAGTTCAAACCCACCAGTTGCTCCACGGGCGAAAAGACTTGGTGATCTGCTCCTATAAAAGATCACAGCCTAGGAAACCCTATGGGGCAGAGCTCTACTCTGTGTTATAGGGTCGCTATGAGTTGGAATCGGCACACAAGAACAATAACCACCACCTATATCTGTAAACCCTGTAGGCCGAGACAGCCTCTTACGTGCCAGGTATTGTTGTTAGGTGCTTGCAAGTTATATAAATGCAAGTAACTCTGTCCTTGCCCTGTGGAGATAAGAAGACGAATATGAATATGACATAGCTCTTTCTCACCAGGGGCTCATATGATATAAGAAGTCAGACATAGATAAGGAACAGCAAACAATGCAGTTTTTGATAATGCCATGGGAAACAAGGGAATGGAGAGATTCAGTCTGTCTCTGAGGACACCATGCTAGAAAGAGAGGTCCAGGTTTCATCACGGCAGGTCTTATATACCAGACTGAGGCATTTGCATCTTACCCTGTTGGCATTCTAATCTTTATTAAACTGGACTCACCAGTGATGCTCTCTGAGTCTCTGTGATTAAAATTCATGAGGTTTTCTTCACCTGTTGGTGATGTAGAAATGGCATTCTGGGATTGACTCATGCAGGATCCTTTCTTGCTTTGGTTGAGAAGGACAGCTTTGGTATATACCCGAGTAAAGGAAATCCATCAAGCCATTCAATAAAGAAACAGATCTAGGTCATACGGATTTTCTCTTTTAAACAAATTTTTCTGATGAGTCAAATGACATCTGCAGCAAGGAGCATTCTTGTGATTATCATACCTTGGACAGTCATGACCTAAAACAAAGGACACATCAAGTGACTTTAGAATTCAGCATGCTCTTTAATAACAACAATCCAATTACCAGGAATGTCTATCATTGAGAATGTTTTTCTAATGACAGACACAACAACAAGGATGAATCTCAAAATAATTATGCTAGATGAAAGACGCTAGACCCCCCCCCCCAAAAAAGAGTACATATGTTATGATTCCATTTGTATAAAATTCTAGAAAATGTAAACTTATCTATAGTAACAGAAAGTAGATCAGTGACTGCCTGGGGTTGAGAAAGGGATTACCAAAGAGCAGGAGAAAAGTTTTCGGGATGATGAAAACGTTCATTATTTTGATTGTGGTGACATTTTCACAAGTGTATACATATGTCAAAACTTATCAAATTATACACTTTAATACGTGCATTAGTTAAAATTCAATAAAGTTATTTTTAAAAATTTAAGATAATTGACTGCTTAAAGTAAAAATAATAACAAATTGTGGGTCTATAACATATGTAGAAGCAAAATGTATAACAATAGTTGCACAAAGGCCAGGTGGGTAAAAATTAAAGTTAACTGTTGAAACGTTTTCATACTATACATGAAGTAATAAAATATCACTTGAGGGTAGGCTGCGATAAATTAAAGATGTATACTATAAACCCTAAGGTAACCAATAAAATAACTCAAGAATTATAGGTAATAAACCAACAAAGGAGATAAAATGGAATAATGTAAAACGGTTTATCAACCCTGGCGCTACTGACATTTTGGGCCCAATAATTCTTTGTTGGGTGCACTGTAGAATGGTTAGAAGCATCCCTGACCTCTATCCACTAGATGTTGGTAGAATTCTGCCCCTCCCTCCTTAGTTGTGACAACCAAAAATATCTCCAGACATTGCCAAATGTCCCCTAGGAGGGCAAAATCGCTCCAGTTGAGAATTACTGATATAAAAGATGCTCGACCTCACTCATAATTAAAATAAATACAAATGTAAATAAGAAAACATTTTTCACCTATTAGATCAGCAAATATTAAAGTCTTATTATAGTCAGTGTTGGAGAAGGTATCACGTAAGAGGCACTCTTATATCCTGCTGATAAAACTGCATATTGTTACTAGCTTTCAAAAAGAATATTTGGCAATGTCTTTTAAATGCATATATGCCATAACTCAACAATTCTACCACAAGGAATTTATACTATATGGGTATACTCACAAAGTATGCCAAGATGTAGGCATAAAGATACCTATACAGTATTGGTTTAAAAGAAAAAACAAACAACAACAAAAAAGACAACTGGAATCAAAATGTCCAGAAAGTAATGGTTTAATCATTATTAAAAGTACATACAAAAGAATATAATGCACCAAATATATGTGTAATCCCAGTTGTTAAAATTCATTTCCGTATTCTAGGATCAGTGTATTGTATGCTAACTGAATTCTTCCCATGTTTCTTATTCTCCAGAATTGTCAATCTTAAAACAATCACTGCAAGGGGAATTGAACTATAATTGGATCAAACCAAGAAAGATTTGCCCCCTGGAATTTGAGAGGAGGAAGAAAGCAACCTCCCATGAAGTACACACCACCCGGTACCTGAACAAAATCTGAGCTAAGCGTTCTGCCAACAAAGAATGGGGAATGATGGTTCTTAAAGTAGGCAACTAAATATCATCTACTACATAAGTCTTTATACCACATGTAATCATTATCAAGGTCCCTTAAATTATAATCCATAGACCCAAATTTACAGATTAAGAATCCAGTGATACAAACACACACATACGCACATCAGAAATATAGATAGGTGTACATAAGTCTATTATATATGTGTGCGTGTGTGTATATACCTATGAAATAGCAACGCAAATATAAGAATATATAGGTAGTGTGTAACAGAACCATCCAGTGCAGGGGTCAGCAAACTACTGACTGAAGGCCAAATTTAGCCTGCCACCTGTTTTTGTACAACCTATGAGTTAAAAATCACTTCTACATTTTTAAATGGTTAAAAAATAAAAATATTTCATAATATGTGAAAATTATATGAAATTGAAATTTCAGTGTCATAAATAGTTACTGAAACACAGCCATACTCATTTGTTTATATATTGTCAATTGTTTTCATGTTACAATGACAGAGACCTTATTCCACAAAGCCTAAAATATTTACTATCTGGCCCTTCACAGAAAAGGTTTGACAACCTCTGATCTGTCTAAATCAAAGATTTCTCTACATCAACTTAATCAAGATTTCCACCTCCCCCCTACATTTAGATATCTATAATTAGATCACTACTTCCAGAAGAATTTCAGTAAAACAAAATTTCCTCTTGTATATCCAGACTTTCTACATCTACAGGTGTACTTAAAAATTATTTTCAATTTCTGAGAAAGTACTTTTTTTTTTTTAAAGTAGTAAGTCACAAATTTGTTTGAGAGGGTAGAAGGAGGAAAAAGGGGGGAGGAAGATAAAGAAGAGGGAAGGAAGGGGAAGAAGGGGAAGAGGTGAAACAGGAGGATGAAAAAGGAAAAGAGAAAAGCAAATTGTCTTTCATACTGATCCAAACTGGTTCTTAAACAGAACTATGGTTTTTAACCATATTTTAACCAAAGACCATTGTGAAAACCTAATAACCTTGAGACCCTCCGCCCACCACTCTGTTACACACTAGTCAGGTTCAATCTTATATTTACATTATCATTTCTATTTTTATCATTTTTTTTTAATATTTATACAGTATACATACCATACTGGAACATACAAAATCGTATGTAAGTTTCAACTATGGACGCCAGAACTTTGCTCTAGAGATGTGTCTTTTCATTAGTTTTGGAGGTCTTGTTAAATGGTTTGGTTTTAACTCATACATATGGGAATAGGGATAACCAAATGGAACACAGAACTAAATCCATCTTAGGAGTCCTGCAGAAAAATCTAGACCCTCCAGGGCAACCCAGCAACTTGCCCAGCCTACAGACCATACACCAGGTTAGGAATGGTCCTTCCTGGTGACTCTTTAGACCTAAATAAATCCTTTGGACTTACCCTGGTCCAGATATGAGCTTCTCAGTATGTTCAGTTTGGAGCAGCAGTGTTGAGTATAGAACAAGGTATGACCCTGGCATTTGACAAACCTGAATTTCAATCTTATACACTGGTTTTCTGACCTTAAGCAAGTTATTTAACATTTTTGAGCCTTAGTTCCTCATTGCCAAGATGGGGGTAGTAAAAGGGAATGTTAGGTATGAGGACTAAATGAAAAATAAAAATTCCTAGCGTGGTACCTGACATACAGTAGATACTCAAACGCTAGTTCCCTTCAGCTTACCCCATCACTTGAGCCTGAGAGAAAGATCATATATTCTTCCCAATATTTCTTAAGCTTCTTGCTCAACAGCCAACTTTGAGCCCAGAATGTATAACATGTTTGAGTGTGGAACAGATGTAGTCTAAAGATTATCAACATAAGGAGTACCCACTGGTGGTGCAGTGGTTAAAGTGCTCAGGTGCTAGCCACAAGGTCGGTGGTTTGAACACACCAGCTGCTCCACAGGAGAAAGATGTGGCAATCTGCTTCCATAAAGATTTACAGCCTTGGAAACCCTACAGGGCAGTTCTACTCTGTCCTACAGCATCGCAATGAGTGGGAATCGACAACAGTGGATTTTGTTTGTTTGTTTGTTTAAAGACTATCTCTGCATAATCTTCATATAGAAAGAGATAAGGACTAAGAAAACACTCTTGGCAATAAAGTGACCAGCACCATAAAGCTGGGACTACTGAAGCTCATTCCTCCATGGAATCTGGTGAAGGTTGGTTTATAATAGAAATCTAACTGCAATATATCTAGCATCTTTCACCATAGCATGATGACTATATTAGCTGCCCGTTGCTGCTGTTAACAAAACTACCACAAATTTATAGCAGGTCAGAACAATGAAATAGTTTCACTGAGCCAAAATCAAGGTGTTGCAGAGCTGTGTTGCCTTTGGAGGCTCTAGGTGAAAATCCATTTCCTTGCCTTTTCCAGCTTCTGCATTCCTTGGCTCATGGTGCCTTCTTTCACCTTCACAGCCAGAAGCTCAGTATCTTTAAATCTCTCTCTCCACTTCCACTGATACATCACCTTCTTCTGCTGTCAAATCTCCTTCTGTCTTCCTCTTATAAATAAGGACACTTGTGATTACATTTAAGGTCCAACCAAATTATCCAGGATAATATCCCCATTTCAAGATCCTTAACTTAATCATACCTGCAAAGTCCCTCCTGCCATATAAATTATTATTTGCAAATTCTCAGTGATTAGGATCTAGGTATCTTTGAGGGCCATTATTCAGCCACCACAGGTTAAGAGCATGGGTTCTGAAGATAGCCTGCCTAAACTTGAATAACAGCTCTAGTTACTAGTTGCGTGACCTTGGACAAGTTACTTAGCTTCTCTGGCCCTCAGTTTCTTCATCTGTAAAATGGGCCTAATAAATAAGGTCTACCTAACGGGATAGTTACGGGGATTAAATGAGTTATGTAAGGATAGTAATAGCACTGACTTCAGAGGGTCACTAGGGGATTAAATGAGTTAATACATGTAAAGCTCTTATTTAATACAGTAAATGTTATGCAAGTATTAATTATTATTTCTATCACTGAACAACAATACTACTTCATTATCATTATAACATCATTGTTATACCTTACACAAAGTTGAGCACTATGTAACATCTACTCTTAAATGTTTGATGGCATCTCCTCTCACCATATGAAGTCACGTGGGTGTTTACTCTGATGAGTGATGTTAGTCTGGTACCGTTAATCATTTTTTTCTATCTCTCTGGTGCATGAATAAACAGAGAGCTTGCAGAGTCAGTCCTAAATGTAGAAGAAACTTAACTTTGGCAAGCACACAAAAAGCAACTTTCAGTGCCCTTCCTAGCGTGTCGTGTACACACATAATGTTAGTACTTCCTTAAGTGTCATCTGCTTTCTATGTGAGATCTTTATTCAGTCT